GCTTCGATTATCCTCACCATCGTGTCATAATATTACGTTACACTAGAATATTTCGAAATTTTTTGCAAGTCCACAATAATAATTATTACGGAGGGCATGACGCCATTGACTACGCTTCAGCTCCGTCACGTGCTTCCCCGCCTTCCCTTGATTGCCCGAGTTTTATGCAACAGCGCTCGCTTGGGAGTATAGTTTAAGGTCTCAAACGCTGTTGGAAATCTCATATGGCTGCCTATCTGTGCCAAACTTTTGTATCCTATGGCATAAAAAGAAAGCGCGGTGCAATCCTTAAATCTCGATGTTAAGTTTTAAGCGGCGTATACACATGCGCAAAATAACAAGTGCTATAATATCGGCAAGCAATGAAGTTGTCGAATACACGATGCGAAGTATACTCGGCAAAAGGCAGCCGTTCATAAGCTTATAGGGTGATGTCATATCGCGCAGCATAGTTCCATCGAGTGAAGGAATCTTTACATAGATAGATACTGCAGAGCAGATTTCTTGCTTCGTCGTATTCCTCTCAGGCAGCTGGCCTGTATCAATCTGGCCATCTGGGTGACGAATAATTCGATTCCATTATCTGCACTACGTCATGGTTAAAGTATAGCGTGCTTGACTTGCCGTCAGTGTCGCCGGTACCTAAGAATATGACGATGTTGATCATCCGCAGAATACGAGGCATTCTCAGATTTGGGTGCACAGTAAAGAACCCCAAGTGGTCGAAATTTCCGGAGCCCTCCACTACGGCGTCTCTCATAATCATATGTATGGTGGTTTTGGGACGTTAAACCCCACATATCAATCAAATCAATCAGAATGCGAGGCCTTCCTGATCTTTTCTGCATATAAGAAGCGCATCGTGCTGCGTGGAAGAGTGCATTTGCAGCTCCACATATCGAGGTCACGTGGCCTGAGCAAACACCAATTCACCTATGACGTCACACCGCCACCGTCCACTTTGAACGAAAGCCAAGGTTCCGACTGACAGTGAGCACGTGTATCGCTGTTTAGCACTGTCAACTTCTAGTCCGTGTCTGCCAGCATCTCTAGTGACGTCATGCATGACGTTTCTGCTCATATCACTTGAGACCGAGCTGTTGAAATGCAACTACACAATGCAACTATGCAACTATACGAGATTGCAAATATACGAGAAATGCTACTATACGAGATTGTCAAAGTAATTTGATCAGTGTCTCGCTGCTTCAGCATGGCTGGGCTAAACTTAGCGTAGTCTAATGGGGCTGTCATAATTTTTTTTCTCCTTTCAAGAATCCGCCTACGTATTTGATGGAGAACTCATTTGCTTATATATTTCAGCGATGAAATGAAAGTTTCGCTAAGCCGCTGTTGTTCTCCACAGAGGAATCCCATCACCATAATGCTGGTTTGCGCCGGCTTCTCGGCGGTGCTTGCCCAGCACGGATACGGTGGTGCTGGTGGCTACGGGGGCGCCGGTGGCTACGGGGGCGCCGGTGGAGCTTACGGTGGCGGCGGTGCCGGAGGAGCATACGGCGGTGCCGAAGGCGCTGGCGGCTACGGCGGTGCGGGCGCCGGTGCTGGAGGCTTCGGCGGCCTGGGTGGCTACGGAGGCGGAGCGCCCGGTGGTGGAGCTGCCTACACAGGCTCAAGTTAGTATTGAAAACTTTGTGATAATTTTCATGCCGCGTTTAGAGCGGAACCGTTCTTGGGATGGAGGGCTGATGAAGATTCGCCAGCCTTCTCAGTGAAAGCTATAGTTCGCGGCTCAACTGCCAGATTGTTGAAAGAAAACAGCTCTGACCATCTGATTCTCGATGTCTCGTGCGTTGTGCCTACTTAAACGGGCACGAGTCGCCTCAGCTGGGCACGTGTAAATGCAGTGTTCTTCCTGTCCTGATTCCTGGCGAAGAATCGCAGTTGGCCGCATTAATGAAGGACTTTAGTGGTATATTCCAACTAGAAGTTTATATCATGCGTGCCACTGGTTTTTGCTTGCTTAAAATAACCAATTCCTAAGGAAAGGCTTCACGGAACGAACATAGACGCAAAATGTAGTGACACAGTGCTACATGAGAGAGTACCATCGCTTTGTCGAAAGCAGCAGATACGAGGTGCTACCCGAAAGTCTCAGAAGTTTATTCGTAAAAATAATGTGTTCATCATGATGCTTGGGCAGTACTGTCTCCATCAGAAACTTCGCATGAGCGTGCGTACACCAATCCGAGCGTTTTTTTGCCACGATTCCATACATTCGTGTAACTGTACAGGTGAGAGTGTATCGAAGACCGCCTGCGATTACCGACTGCATCTTTCCAACAGAGTGCTACCGCAACGTCTTTTCAGCCTCAACATGAACTTTGGTGGCAATAAACATCATCCCCTGTTATCTCACTTGAGAGTAATGAGGGACAGTCTCCGACTCATTGCTTCAGTTCTGAAGTACCGACCGAAACACCATGCGACTTCTGTTCTTCACTGAGCAGCCTTGGCACAAATTCTTCAGGAATGAGCCCAGTGTTCAAAACATACAACGAATTTCACTGAACTGTGCCTTACAATTGTAGCAGACATTCTTCAGAGTTTGCCAGCAGTTTCCAAAGATAGCTTTATGAACCTCTAGCCAAGCGTTTATTCAGCGGCCATTCTTTAGATATATGATTTCCAGGGTCGTGCTCCTTCACCGGCGTTCAGAACGTTTGTCGACACACATTCGACACTCTTGTAAGCGTTTATGTCATGAAAAACACCTTGCTCTGACGCGTCCTCTATAGCATATGACGGGTTTCTGCTGCAGTTTTGTTAAGTTTAGACCAAAACTGGATGCAAAACTCTAGCTTTTTTGGTGTCCGCCGTATTGATTGCTAATAAATGCTATAAATCAAATATGGCGTTTCGAAACAGCTTTTCAGAAAACACGCCTTTTTTTTCGTTAATGCAAATCGTACAGCGCACTTATTATCAAGTTGTGCTGCTAATTACACTCGGCTGTGGAAATGTGTACTACACTCATTTTGCCTCTTTTTTCTCAATCTCAGAGCATTTGGGTAGCACCTCCTTGTACTTTTATCACTGAGTCTTTAGTCGCCACGCTACTGCAGCTATAATAATATTCTATATTTAACCTAGACAATTACGGGAAGCTTTGCGCATATACGGCTGGCAATGTCATTTCGTGAAAGAGGGAAAGACCTACGGACTCGCGACAGAACAGAGTGAATGGATAGAATATGAACCGCGTGTCGTAATGTGCACGCGTAGATATACTGCACAGACTGCCAGCAGTGCCGATTTGAAAAGCGGGGAATGTAGAAGAAGCGTAGCAAGGAGTCGTGGATGCAGCCAGTGCGAGCCGATCGAACGGATAAGTGCGTTATCTGCTGGGCTGAGTTGGCGCCTCAGAATTACGTGGGCAGTGCGTGGCTGTACTGACGACTTTGTCGCTCGAATGGGCTGTTCCAAAACGATGTTTAGTATCTGATGACAGGGAAGAACGCTATTCTTCATTTTGTAGGATCTTTGAAGTATGAAATAGTGTGCGCTGAATTCGTGCATATGCGAGAACAAAAGTCTGCAGGTTGAGTCGACAATGACAGCCAAGAGTTAAATATGCGTATCCTGTGGAGCCATCCAGGAGTAAGTGAGTGGCGATCGTGACAGACATGCAATGAACGTATAATATTGTAGTTTGGGAGAGTAAGTTGTGCAAGCACCTTCGGTGAACGCTGTAAAGGTGAAATGGGAGGCCGATGCAGTCAGAAATGAGTGAATCTGGGTGAGTGATCAGTGGCGTGCAGCCGCGTGCTCGAGTGACGTCGCCAGTCAAAATACTCAAAAGCAATTGGCGCAGAAGGCGGGCACAAAAGTCACTTTTTTTCCTGTAGAAATCACCACACGCATAGGAAGTGGACATTGAAGAGCACTAAGGACGAAACAATGAACAAATCACAATTCTCAATGTGCAGAGATCTATAGGACACATCAGCAATAAACGGAGATCATGTTTTGGTGAACATCACGCTCAACCTACGGTGAGGAACAACATTAACAGCTACAAATTGGACCTATATGATGCAGTCAGGGTAAAAACAGAAGAACATGAAGACAGAGGATATGAACAAAGCCGTAGCTGAAACATCGTCTAAAGCCTTGGTAGAGATTGAAGTCATAGCAGCAATACCAGAAGTGGTGGTGGTGGTAGTGGTTACAATGAAGAGGAAAAAGGCACCTAATTTCTGTCTGCCTTCAGGCGACACGGCGCAGTGCCTTATAGGGGTGGGGGGAAGGAGGGATAAAAAGAATAGAAGGAAAGTAGAAGCAGAAGAAGACAGCCAACGAGAGGAAAAAAGAAGGAGATAGGAAAGTGGGGATCCAGTCGAAGCAGTCCAAGGGCGGGGTGCCACAATGCGAGAGCTACACGGCGTCAGGAGACCGCGGAGGGCGAACCAGTCGGCGGGAGCTACGCTGAAGTCGGAGATCGCGAGGGCACAACCGTCCAGCTTGAAATCCTGCGAGCGAATCCCCAGAAGTAAGCAAGCTCTGAAAGCACAATGTCATTAGTCGGAGCCAGACAACGAGAGAGAGAGAGAGTGAAGACCATGATGAAGAGCATAAAGCTTTCGCAAAACCGCACGAGTGCGTGGCCTAAGCTATGATCGAGAGAAGAAATGCCATAGCGCTGCCAGTTCCCTTCGCAGCTGTGAATCAGTTTCTTTAGGGCTTCAAGACAAAACAAGCAGCGCTGAACTGCCATACGGGCGTGGTAGAAGAAAGCAATTTCACCGGCACCGCGCTGGCGACAGAAATGGCAGTCTTTTTGGTTCTATAGGCTGCGACGTTGGCCTTCCAACATAGAAGACGCTTGAGTGAATTGGACACGCTGCAGCATCTGAGGGCGATCCCGGAAGCGACTCTCCTTCAGTGGCTGGTCGGCTATGGCGCACTAAACAGCCCCAGGTCTACCACGTCATCGTTCCGCAAAATACCGACCTGAGCAGATCGCCAGACCTAACCCTCTAATGCCCACTTGTTACGTCAACTCGGACGTCTTGGCCACAGGACGACAACAATGGGTCATTCTTCAGGGTGCGGCACTGGCGGAGGCTTTCGTCGTGGCCCTCCAGACCAGACGCACTGGAAGCGGACGCGACCGAGACCGGACCTATAGGAGACTAACACAGTCTACGCACGAACGTAAGGGCGTTCTATTCTATCAGCGGCTGCGAGTCATATGCTGCATACAGTGGGTAGAGACAAGTTTTGAAGAAGTTGCTGTTATTTTTGTAGACGTTTGCTTAAAGCAATTCGGATTTCTTTTGTATATTTATAGTCAAAGCGTGGTGCGACTGCGTTCAGTTTGATGTGATAAAATCATGGGTTCTGTTTCAATTCACGCGTCTCATTGCATCTTCTAAATATCGTGCCCCTTAAATCCGTGACAAACGACAACAGGTGAAAGCAACTACTTCAAGAGGTGTAATACAATTTGCTGACTAATGAACAAACGTAAACTCACTCATATGCGAAACTCTAAAGTCAAAGATATAGAGGCATCAGTAAAGAAAAAACATCGACGTGTTGCTATGGTGCGTCAGATATACGCAATGATAGCTTTTTAGGGGCGAAGCTCCTTAGGGCGTGGGCTGTGCGTCCCCTGTAGCCTGTATGTAGCCACCTCTAGTTTAGTTCTTGCAGTGTTCACTAGATCGCGGTACCGTCCCCTGTATGTAACCACCTCTAGTTTAGTTCTTGCAGTGTTCACTAGATGGCGGTACCGTCTTCTGTATGTAGCCACCTCTCGTTTAGTTCTTGTAGTGTTTACTAGATGGTGGTACTTGTAGCTGATGATGAAAAGATGCAAGATGTTATAAACTAGAAAGCGGTACTTGTAGTTGATGAAAGACGCGAGATCTTATAAAATAGGAATGATGTCACATATGGCGCGTGTCATTGGTTGAAGGCAATCGTTCGATTTAGTGCGGCGACGTACGCTAGGGGGAGCGATGTAATAAAATCGAGTGGGCAAAATGTACAGAGGATTCACGGTTTACCAGGTTTACCTCCGGAGCTTCGCCCACTCATCATCATTCACTTCGTGGATATGGCGGAATTTTTTTTTAATTTATAATCGCACACGTAAGAATGCTGATTCTTGAGCAACATTGGTGGGCGCTGCGGATGGGGTCGGCCGTTCGGGGTATCGGTTGATGCTGTTTAGAGTAACCGGTTCGCAGTAACGGTGGACAAACAAACGAATGTACAGACAGACAGACCAAAGTTTTTGCGTCGAAGGTCCCCAATAAAAACTATTGCCTTTAAAAAAGGCAGGTAGCACCTGGGAAACAAAAGAAAAAAGTCTGTGTGGAAAAGTTCACAATGTCTGAAGTGTTTGATAACCAAGACAGTACAAATAACTGACATACTTAAAAAATGGGGCGTGCAAATACGCACGCAAGAGAGAAGTCCGGGGACCACGCAATCGCCGAGCGAAAGAAGGTAGACACAAAAACACATCTGCCTATGCAAAAGCGATACCTGCCAATCTGGCACGCGTGAAGATCCGCGTGAAAAATATCCAGGCATTTCATTTTTTCTCTCTGTACAAGTTAATCGCGTCGAACGGCTCACACGTGTGTATGCCACCAATACGCCAGGCCTCAGGGGCCAGGGAAAAAGGTGGCAAGACAACTTTCTTCCCCCCCCCCCTATAATTAAAACAAAATCTTGAACTACGGAAGCCAATTATTACAATGACGAATTGCCAATCTCCTCAATAATGAAGATACAATACTCAATATTACGGAACATTTCCCAACTGTCAGCATTAAGAGAAAAAAAAATACTTTCTCGCAAAAAAAAACAGCTTTGTTCGAGTGCTATATCATATTTTTGTTTTCATTGATTCATTTGTTGTTGTATAGTCAAAAGAATACGTCTCCAATTATTGAAGTAGAATGTATTTATCTATATATATTATATATATTATATATATTTAGTTTTATGTTTGTACTTATTCAATTTATTGATGATATTATGATGTACTGAACTTGTGCCTATATAGCTAACATTTATGTTTACGCCCAAACACGTAAATCAGGCCAGCGTATGTATATGTTCTCATTTTTTTTTTTCACTGTCACCTCGTGCACTTGTGGTGCCAGAAGCCTAGTAAGACGTGTACTAACACGACTTTCGCTCCAGCACCGTGACGATACACGTTTCATGTCTTGTCAAAACCGCAAATAAACTTCAAACTCCCCCCCCCCCCCCCCGCGCCAACCTAAAATTTATCACTTTGGGTGTGTTTATACACACGCTTGCAAACGCTCGCACGAATGTACGATATATGGCCGGACTCCTCCCTTCCACTCGAAAAAAAAAAAATTCTGGCTACGCTACTGGAGCCTTCAACCATTAGATGCATCTCTTCATTGATATGCATGTACAGAACTTTCGATAATGCAAAGATTAATTAGCAGGTGAGCATCCGGTCAGCGATTTCTTGAGTTCCGTTTTTTTCTCGTTGACACAGCTGTCCGTGTGCGCCATAGATGGGGCAGCTGCTATAAAAGGAACTTTACGCCACATACCTCTTCGGTACTAAACAAATTTGTCAGTGTGTTTTACGAAGCGCCCTGCCACCATGGTCAGGTGATTATGGTGCTCGAATGCTGACCCGCAGGTCGCGGGATCGGAGAAGACGACACAACAGACTTGATGAAAAAGTGTTATAATTTAGCGTATACGTTTGAGCTGGAAAAGCGTTATTATTTCACTAAAACGCAAAAATTAAGACGTACAGAGAGAGAGAGAGAATAAAATAAGGGAAAGGCCGGGAGGTTAACCAGAAAATGGAGCATCCAGTTTGCTACCCTGCACTAAAGGAAGGGGGAATGGTGAAGAAAGATGGGAAAGAAAGTAAAGAGGGAGTAGACGCGTGCAAAAAAAAAGGGGGGGAGGGGGGCTGGGGTGCTATAGTCTATACAATAGGCCACTGCCACGCAAAAAGTTCAGTAAGGCCTTCACTGATTTTCTGTGAGCTACCCGCACAAACTTGAAGTACAGACTAACAAGCGTGTTTGCACTTATACAAAAATATTTACGAACGTTGTTCCGAGTAGTACAAGAGATGTACTTCACAGTAATAAACTATGAAAACAAGATCCACGGTTTTAGGAAGTGGTATTCTGCAATGACCATTTTGACGTTATCAATTGAATCACTGAAATCCGCCGAATGAAACTAAATTCCTCTATATATCATTCATAGCTTATGAAAAGGCATTAGGCTCGGTACAGTCGTATGTCTCATTTTCCGCATGATACCACCATTATTGGAGGCATTGCGGCGGCGAAAAGTGTATACGTGAATACCATAACCAACATCCACGGGGATTCTACAACAACCGCGCTCCTTCTGAAAGCAGAAAAATCCTGATCGAGAAAGGCCTCAGACAAGGAAACACAATTTCAATATTGTTATTCACGGCATGTCCAGAAAAAGTTTAAAACGGCTTAATTGTTGGGAATATCTGGGAATAAACGTTAACGAAGAACGTCTCAGCAGAGTACGGTTTGCAGACGACATCGTGCTCTGATGTCGTCTCTATGAAGAAGACTAATATTCTATGTGGTCCGGCGTAAGAACAAGCGTTCGTGATTGATAAGCGGACCCTGAAATTTGCAGGATCACATGTTCATGTATAAAATAAATTCTCCGAATGATAGGCTGACGCGCATACGATATACAGGCTTTCAGCTCACGTACGGGGAAAACACTTGGAGAATAACAAAAAACACGAGTAACTGAGAACTGCGCAGCTTGCGATAGAACAAAGCCACGATAAGCGTAGCAGTAAGAGATAGAAAGAGTTTATCCAATCCAATAAAAGTTTATCCAATCCAATCACGCATATGCGGACATGGCGACCGATCTACCACTGCACTTGGTATCCCTGCTGCGTTCAAATCTTAACCAGAATAGCAAACGCGTAGTTGCCGAAGCAAGATATATACATGTCAAAACAATCACATGCCCGTTTTGGCCCTGCCACGCTTCTTTTCAAATATGAAACGTAGGCACTTAAGGAGTGACGATAAATATATAGCGCGAGAACAAAACGACGACACAGAGACAACAAGGACACGAAGGACACTGTGTAACGAGACACACAGAGACACGAGACACACAGAGACACGAAGGACACTTGTCTCTGTGTCGTCGTTTTGTTCTCGCGCTATAACTATCGTCATGCCATACCAACTAGCCCAAGCTGCCACACTTAAGGAGATAGGCTGCAAGCTTTCGGAAACAAATCTGGTAAGCGGGTTCTTCAGCCGGCTTGGAGTTGTCAACTGCACTGCTCTCCTATAGGAAATAGCATTCTTTAGACTAATGGCTTGTCCTCCCTTACGGCAGGCGTTACTCCTTCCGGAGGAGGCTACGGTGGCGGTGACTATGGCGGTGCCGCAACGGGTGGCGCGGCAGCCTACGGTGGAGCTCCTGCAGCCGGAGGAGCGTACGGCGCCGCCGCGAGTCCATACAGCGGCTCCTTCGACTTCACCAACAACGTGAACCACGCCGGCTACGGCCCGGGCACTGGTGCTCAGGCAGCCGGCGGTTACGGAGGCGCCCAGGCGACCCAGGGCTACGCTTCCACTGGGGCCGCCCAGGGTGCGGGCTACGGGGGCGCGGCTGGTCTCGGAGCTGGCGGCTATGGTGCCAGTGCTGCTGGAACTAGTGGGCTTGGAGCGGCCTACGGAGGTGCCGGTGGCTACGGAGGTGCCGGTGGCTACGGAGGTGCTGGTGGCTATGGAGGTGCTGGTGGCTACGGAGGCAGGTGAGTTCAGATTTGCTCGGGCGCTTCATTCGTCAGGTGGAATCTGCGCGAATCGAGACCGCTTCAATGGTTCCCGGACTGCGAAGTTGTGAATGAGCGTCCGTGCCGTGAGGTTAGAAGTTTCATTTCTCTCTCATTTCGTTCATGATGTTTCACATAATTTCTCTTTAGACAATGATGTATATTTGGAAAACTTGGTCACCAGCTTGGGCCTGTACATAAGTACCGAGTTTATCATTTATGATTAGCGTAACTCTCTGCATACTTCAACCAAATAAAATGTCGGCCTGAACCTTTGTTGTTTACCGATAAAATGTCCTACCTAATGCGACCACTGCGCCAATGTTAAAGGTACACTAAAGTCAAATAACAATTTACGCCAGAAATCTTACTCTATGAAAACACCTAGAACGACAATATTATCAACAACAGTGCCCCACTTACCGAGAAATTAAGGCAAATGCACAAGAACACAAGCGCCGCAGTAGGACATTTTCAGAATGATACCGATGACATCAGACGAACCGCCTACAATTATTCATTAGTAATCGATCTAACTGCACTAAATAAAGAACTTTCCGTGCATCAAGAGACGCAATAAAGTACTGCTTGTTCGTTTATGTTTGATTCATGAAAAAAAAAAGAACCACCAGACGTTACTATGGGGCATGGCGCGAGATGTTCAAAAATTCAATTTTCACGTGCTTACACGGGACATGTGGTGCCGTCTAGCGGGGCGCAAGTGAAACAAAAGCGTCTGCAATCTCAGAGCCCATGGAGGTAAATTGGTCAATGGCCGTTTTTGCTGCTGTGGCTCCCACTGCTTTCGGTATGCTGCTACTAGCGCAATAAAGCCGGGCAACGTTGTGCATGGTAACAGTGGACGTGAGACGGACCGGTCGGTCCGCGTCTTGAGGCGCGGGTAATTTGAAGTGCGCTAACTGTATGCGGATCACTAAAACGTGATTTTATTGCAAAATATGCCCTTCCTTGGGACAAAAGTAGCACTACGAGCTTTCTGGACCGTCATTTCAACAATCAACGTGGACTTAATGGTTGACTTTAGTGTTCCTTTAAGCGTTTCATGGCTGAGCGCTTTGACTCCTCTGCGCAGCTCCGGAGGAGGTTACGGGGCAGCGTCCGGTCTGGCTGGAGCTGCCCAGGTGTATGGCGGCGGAGCGTTCCATCAGCAGCCACGTACCAGCGGAGGATACTGAGCGACGTGTGCTGAAGGCGTTATGGACAGAGGGAGCATGCCGAGCCGATCATCAGTCGCGGTTCTATGCTAAAAACGAGACTCATTTCTTCCGAGCACGATAGCGACCGCCCTCGTCGGCCGTTTTATTCGGAGCGTGTGACCGTGACTCGAAACCTTGTCGGGCTACGCTCACAAAGGCAAGGAATCTTCACTTGAAAGTTGCGTTTCCTACTGTTCACTGACGCACTGAGCCCAATCTCATATTGTTCAAGACCACTAATTATTTATTCTTTAAATTTCACGCATGTAACAAACAGCGTGAAGTGCCAGTGCCAACGCACGTCGTCTCGGGCGAAATTCGCATGTTCAGCCACGTCAAAATAGTCATCGAAGCACCGATCAATGTGGCCTTCGTCTCCCATAGTTATTTCAAACGACTGGAAAATGCTTCACACTTTTCGATATCATTCACTGAAGAATTCACCAAATTACGCATCTCGAACAAGATGTTTCTGCATGGCAAGTGCTGCTGCCTTGACGATGTACTTTGGACGGTGAGACTTAAATTCTGTAAGTATAAAAAAATACCGTAAAACATTTTTGTGCGTGTTGGTTCTAACTGACATTCACACACGCACAATTAATGTGGCCAATTTTTTCATAACGTAATGAATTGTACGTATCAAGTAGCAGATATGCCAGAAGCAAGTGACTGAAACCTGTTTCACCGAACCAAGTAACTTTGATTAGTAAGTGCCATACGTCCGGAAAAAGTTCCTATTAAAACAAGAAAAAACTGTTCACGTAGCCGGATGTCGTCTGCTCACAAAGGCGAGCTGTCAGCATAGCAATGTACTGTCTGTTGGCGATAATAATTAGTGAAAGAATTGCTACAGGGACAGCCATTCATTCGGTGTCAATATATCCTCATTCTATTGACATCTTGTCGGTGCAGTCAGTGATATCTGGTTGGTTCTGTGCACTTTCATTCGTTCGTTTCAGTTTTTACTTTTCTTTATAGAAGCGATTGGAAGGTAAATATTATTATCTTGCCTTTGTGGCCGTGCTATCCTCGACATGTTCTCTCTATATTATGTACAAATTCTGTATATAGAAACGATAGTATAAAAACTTTTTCTTGTATACACTGTGATCGAATTCGCCGATTTTTTTTTTATGTGCTTGTCCGTTCTAATTTATGAGTTGTCAGTGCCTCGAGCTTGAAAAAATGAGCTCTAACATTTGCCGCAAGGGACACATAATTTACCGCCTTCGGATACGACATGTGTGACCTATTCTAGAGAAGCGAAGGTTTGTTTGTAGTCAAACGGCTGTAAAATTAGATTTTCTAAACGGTGTTCCGTGTTGATCCGAATGGAAAGACATGTAGATGTTAAAGTATTGAGGGCATATATTTGCCATCGTGTGCTTATGCAGCATGTTTTCCTCTAGGAAAATGACGGTTATTACGGACCGAGCTTTGTTGCAACACGTGGGCCGAGCTGCCTTAATGCCGTTTGTGTTCATTGATCCATCCGGTGATATTTGTGTGATTGTGTTTTCAACTGAAATGAAATGTTCCTTAGCCAATTTTTTTAATAAAGATCTCGAAAAAGTATGCGTTGCGATTTCTTGCTAATTCTCGCCTCCCTTGTAGAGAGAGAGAAGGAATGTAGGAAAGGTGGGGAGGTTAACTAGACTATGCGTCTAGTTTGCTACCCTACACATGGGGAGGGGGAGTAAAAGAGAGTTGAAGGATAGACACATGTCGCATCACACACACAATGCCGAGTTTCACAGGCGGTCCCTCAATGAAGTTGCTGACAAGTATCTCAGGAGGGCTCGTGTGGCTTTCTGGGCTGATGTGCTGAGCGACCAGTGCTCCTAAGATCTTTGCTTCATTAAATGGCCGGTCATCGAGTCTATTCAAGGCACACTGGAGAGTCCGGCCTCCCTTGTAACGTTTCCTCTTGCTTGTATGGTTGCCTGGAATGAGTTTTCAGACCTATGCGTTGTCCTTTCGTGCTACCTCCTTCAAGATGACCCGACGCGGTGGCGTGAGCACTCGGCTGCCGACCCCGCAGGTCGCGGGATCGAATCCCGGCCACGTTTTCGATAGAGGCGAAAATGCTTGAGGCCCATGTGCTTCAATTTAGGTGCACATCGAAGGGGCCCTGAAACACTTTTTTGGGGTAACCATGGAATTAATTCACAGGAAAAGCGTATTGTCTCACACAGTCAACGCCGCAAAAATTCTAAGAATCCGTGCAGTGCCAGCGGAGTTACAAAGATTTGTCACGCGCTGCAATCGCATTCTCTCTTCTCTCGTCCCGACGAGAAAAGAGAGGATGCCATCTCTGCCTGCTTTTGGTTTATAAGCAAGGAGATATAGGAGGGGCAAACAAAGAAACGTCATTCACGCCTCATGGCCTTGAGCCCCCCCCCCCCTTTTTTTTTTCTTCGAATACACAATTTTTTCAGTGAAATCGCGCGCGCGCGCGCGTGGACAAGTGACGGCCTTTATCGACGATCTCTGTAACAAGCGAGCACGCCATGTTCAAATCAGCCAATGGCTGATAGACGGGTAATCTACGCGTGAATTTCGAGCGTCTTCCGTCATTTGTCGAAGAAAAATAGAGCAATTTTCAGCTGACTTTGATTGTATTGTGAATTTGATTGTATTGAGAATGTATTGTGAATTTCAGGTCACGTGCTTCGCTATAACATTTGGCTCGCGTGTTCTCGACAGACTCTACTACCGATCAGCAGCGTTCTCTGACCATGCTCAAAAAGTGTTGCACGGCCCCATATAAGGAACCCCAGAGGGTCGAAATTGCCGGAGCCTTCCACTCCGGCGTCTCTCATAATCGTATGGTAATTTTAGAACGTTAGACCACAACAATTATTATTAATCTTCAAAATAACACCCTGCAAAAGATGCGTGAGCTACGTGGCCGCAAACGCTCCTCCACTCCGGCGCTCTTCTTTAAATCCTCTCCAACCGGCTGCGCACTCTGCGTAGCAACGTTACTAGATAGCGTAGTACGTTGCGTAGCAACGTTACTACGCAACAACGTTACTAGTAACGTTGCTGCGTAGGGCACACTGACGAGGCCACCATGCAGGTGCCAGCGTTATTCGTTGGCTGATTATTCATTCGATTTTTTTTTTCTCGTTTTTTTTTACGTTATATATACAAAATAAATAGCGGCACTTTGGGCATACTTGTAGGACATGATCAATAAATTTCAAATACACAACCGGACGAGGGCTGAAAGACGTAAGACGCACGGGCGCTATCTTTCAACACTTCATTGATACCCGCGGGAAGGGAAAAAGAAGTAGGAGTACACGTGACATTACATGACGACGGCGCAGGGGCAAATATGACACGATCACTGATGTCACACGTAATGCAATTCTTCGGAAGATAGAGCAATCGACAGCTTTGACGCAGATTTATCACCTAAAGATAGTAATCTTTCAAATTCGGTTATTTAAAGCGCGAGTTTGTTCTGCTTCTTTAATAAATGCACTCTTGTCACGAGAAGCAGGAATAACGGCGGCGAAAACATACGTGACGCCATCTGCCGGAACCTTTCTGGGACGTATAAAACGATATCACGTGGTACCTTCCGCGCAAACTGTTTGATGAGTGCAGTATAGTTCATGCTGTGCAGCTGCGGCTTTTCTCGCTTTGCAAGCGTTGGATGTAATTGTATGAGCTTAGAAACAAGGTAAAGTGCTTGCCAACTGTCACACCTGTCCCGTTATTAGGGAGGCGATCGCCGGGCTAATTCCAAGAGTCGAAGTGTCGGCCCCCCGAACCGCACCACGAAAGCGTGGACAATTTAGAAGTGGTCCTTTTTGGTGCGCCAGCGGACGCCGGCTGTGGCCCAAAGAACAAGTCAGAGTCGAGAGTTGATAAACAAAACAAATATTATATTCTCAAAAATGGCAGATCGAAAACAATACACAAAAATGCACACTCCACAATAGTTACATACAATACGTCACCAATCAGACAACGTACTACACAGTACAATCAGCCACACTCAAAACAACGGACTCAGACAACAATACGCACTACAATGCAGTCGCATGCATTGAACAACCAAGACACTTAAGGACTAAAGAGATAGAAAACCTATTCAGTCCAGAGTCCTTGGAACAAAAGTCTGAATGATACTCTTCCGAGAATCACTCACTCAAAGTCCAGCGTTGTTGTCGTTCCGGAGCTCTCGAAGTTTCTCTTCCCGGAAACCTCGCGTCCTCAAATGGCCCCTCTCCAAGCTTCAAACTTCTTCGCCGGAAATCCGTCGGCTTCACACACGCAGCTGTTGCCCGCGTCTTCGCTCGATAGCGGTAAACCCACGCTCTTGCCTGTAGCTCGAGCCGTCCCTACGGACCAAAAACTTCGCCGACTACACGGCGGAATCTCTACGCACTCTGGCGCTCACTTCCGTCTCCTCCTGTTCTGTCACTACGGGCAGAACCTTCGCCGACTACACGGCGGAATTCCTACGCGCTCCGGCGCTAACTTTCCGTCTTCTCCTGATTTCTCGTCTCGGCAGCTCGATTAAATACTTTCCGCGCCACCTTCCAGAACGTTCTCCTCATTTCGTCGGCGCGATGCGCAGCGAAGGCTGGGGAGAGGTACGAGACGGTTCGACTGCCCTCTCCGGAGAATGATTCACTCGGTCTGACCCCGCCTCCTTCGTTCTAGAAAAATCACGGCCTTGCTGGGCCGCCGATGTGGGGTGAGGAGGATCGTCTGCGAAGCCGTGCTTCTGCGGGGAGAGCGCGCGCCCGGGAGCCTTGGATGTTTGCTTTCTTTTTTTTTTTATTTTTACCTCGCGGCGTTTCTGCCGCCCGTTGTTAACGTGCGGTCATCGTTGCCTCGTGCACTGTTGATGTATCGCGTTCCCACAGCGCCATTGACGCACTACGTGCAGGCTACTTGGTGAAAGGTGAGTTGTTGTGAAAGTCACCTAGTACTCAGTAAATCGAAGCACTCTCACATCTCGCGTAAAGTTCAATCTTTTTGAGAGTCGAAACACGGGAACGCGGATCTTTGGGAGCTTCCAGCGCCGTTTAGTGGTGGCGCCGAGAAGCATCGCTCATGCGCAGTACGGCCGGGCTGTGGAGACAGGGAGCTTTAGAATACCGTTTGCAAGCGCTGTGGGCGAAGCGGGCGCCATATGAGCTTTAGAATAGCGTTTGCCCTGCTGCGAATGCGCTACGCACGATCGCAGCGACACCGTAGCCTCGAAACCAGCGCTTGTGGGCGGCGATAGCCGCACGCGGTTTCGGATTTTCTGCGTGCGGTCCGCGAACTCGAACGCCGACTCGCGTTACGACGCATGCGCAGTGGCATGTGACCGCACCGCAAGGACTCGCGGTGCGCTATTTAAAACTCTCCGATACCGTCGCGCTCACTGCGTCAGGCGAGCTAGCGCTTGCCGTCCGCTGCACGTGCTTGCAAGGTGGTAGGGAAGCCGTGTGCTTCAACGTGGCAACAATGTCGAACTTCTAGTTATGCTCCACCTGACTAACGGATGAATTTCAAAAGACGTTATGTTTTCAAGATGATCGGTGACTTGTCGCTGGGTGCTTTCACCAACGCACATTTTGTGTTCCAGCATGACCTGTCGCCGAGGTACACTGCAAAAGTTGTTACGAACGAGCACACAGAAAATCGCCAGGATCGTGGTGCTTGAGCATTTGTGAAAATGTATGGCAATATACATAGAAGAAGCTACGATGCGCCACCCTGTTTACGCGGTGACTGCGGACAAACCAAAGATTGATTGATATGTGGGGTTTAACGTCCCAAAACCACCATATGATTATGAGAGACGCCGTAGTGGAGGGCTTTTGAAATTTCGACCACCTGGGGTTCTTTAACGTGCACCCAAATCTGAGCACACGGGCCTACAACATTTCCGCCTCCATCGGAATGCAGCTGCCGCAGCTGGGATTCGAACCCGCGACCTGCGGGCGGACAAACCGAAGGTTCGCCAAGAGTGGCAGAATCTTCGAGCGCATCGTTATTTTGTGCCAGCGCTGTACTCTTCACTACCTCCCAGAATGGCAGCAGTGCTTTCGTTTTGCAAATGGGGACATGACTAAATACTAATGTAACATCGAGGTAAACTATTCCAGGTTAATGATACAACTTCCTTAAACTAATCAATCTTTCGTGTAACGTGTACAAAAAAAAGTTCGGGTGCTTTGTGTTCCTTTGCCTGATTGTTGTACGACTACAAGCACGCAGGAAAAAGAAAACGACGAAAACCAAGTGACACGGCAAGCATAATAAACGCGCCGTTAGAACTGAAATCATCTAAATTTTAGTTGCCATCATAATACAGTTAAATCAGTTAGCAGAAGATAAAAATCAGTTAAATGAGTTAGCAGATGATCAAGTAAGTTAGCAGATGACAAACGAGCACAGCGGTGACGTCATGTGGGCGAAGAAAAGCTACCCTTCTCACACACACGCAGATATTGTGACGTAGTAGTACCAAGGCATACGTAAACTGATAACGTAACTTCCATAGAACTGATGAGTGTGGCGAGTTGGGCGGGTTGGTAAAGATGCATAACTTCGAAATCTTAGAGCCAAAAAGTCGAAAGGAGGAAGGAAGAAATGAAGAAGGAAGAGAAAGGAGTCGAAAGGAAGAGACGCAGACAACATGAGGTCAATATAGATCCATGGGGTTCTATGGAACCCTATGGATCCCGACTGCGGCGGCTGCATTTCCGATGGAGGCGGAAATGTTGTAGGCCCGTGTGCTCAGATTTGGGTGCACGTTAAAGAACCCCAGGTGGTCGAAATTTCAAAAGCCCTCCACTACGGCGTCTCTCATAATCATATGGTGGTTTTGGGACGTTAAACCCCACATATCAATCAATTATAGAACCCTATGGATCCGGCAGTTGGCGGCTCGTTGCCCCAGTCACCATCCACGTATGGAGGGGATAACAGCAAACAAAACAAAAAATGAAATATGACGCCACAACCGAATGCGGTAGCGACGTCGTGCATTGTCCTTACACAAGGCGCGAAATTGAAAATTTCACTAATTGCGCACCTTTTACGTGCCTTTATTATTACGCAATTTTATTGTTGCTTGTGTCTCACTAGTTGCATGGGGAAGAGAAAAAGAAACACAAAAAAACCAAATATTGAGGAAGCAAAGTTGTTTTATTAGCCTAATGACGTAATTGCAATATGCACAAGAAACTTCACCGGGCCAATTGTGAGACAACTGTTCACGAGCACAATAACATAATTGTTCGAAAACTCACGTTGACCAATCGTCTAAAACCACTGCAGCGGGACAGTAGCTTTGAGAATATAGCTTTGGCAACCGTATAGAGTACAACGTCTCGTTTCTTAGCTGGTAGCATTCACCGTCGCCGAAGTCGAGGGCACGCCGGCCGCACACCAGCGAAAGCGGTCGGCAAAGTTTGGGGAGCACACTCAGGCTCACTGATAAACTATATCTTGAGCTTTGGACTCACTTCGGACTCGGACTCACGAGAACATTGCTCACTTGGACTCAGACAGACCCACGACTCGATCTGAGTTTGAGTGAGTCAACTCATGCGTCCGTCAGCCTAGAATTAGTTTCTTCGATCGTGGTGTCAATGCTCTTTAACATCAATATCTCGCGTAATCGGCGCTCTTCTTGGTGCACTTCACATAAAATCTTCGAAAACGAGTTCTGAGTGCTTCCAAATCAGTAGGGTTCTTTTTCTTGCAAGAGATGACCGCATAAGGTATAATAATCAAGAACTTCCCTGGAAGATTTCGCGGGGAGAGGTCAAGGCACCTCCCTACGTAATTGACGCCCCTATGTAATGAATATTGAAACAAGTGTATGAACTACACTGTTTTAGAGAATGGCGTACTAACTTTTTCGTGGGGGAAGGGGGGGGGGGGGGCTGACCTACTTTTCTCGCCAGCCGTATCAGAGTCATTGCTTAAAGTATTGAAGAACTCTGGTGTAGGTAATATCCGCCCCCTCCCCCAAATTTTCTCGGTGGGTGGGGGGGGGGGGGGGGGGGGGGGGGCTCACGCACCTATGATCGGCAGTCACAGGCGCGGCTATCTACACATTCTGTGAGCTATATATAGTTCTCCTGTTAAATGTCACACTGGTAAGCAGCACATAAACGAATAAGGAAACAGCGGAAGGTACGCACGAAACCACCACGGAAAAGTGAGTGATGCCTTGTTGACCCAGCAATGCGCCGAACTAAACACAAGCTCCGATGGCAGATTGCCTAGATACGCCCCCTCCCCCCCCCCCCCCCCCCCCCATTTAAGACACTCGGCCAAAAATTGAGGCAATCAACAATTTAGCCAAGTGTCAGATACACAGTAAAGTAGTTTTAGAGTTAACTTTCACATATATAAAATCACGACTATATGAAAAAAAATGATATTGGGTGTTTAGTTTTGGTTATTTTCCCCTTCTCACCTAGATGCGTTTCAATTTCAGCGCCCTCCGCCGCCGCCGATGTCCGCGCCCTCTCGCCGTTGCAATACTCGTTTCATTTTGCTGGGGCTCGGCCTCCGAGATGGCAGATGCGCGGCAAAGGTCATGGCTAGAAAGCGCGACGACTGAGACGGCCCATAGAGTTTCCTACAATGAAATTCAATGCTCTGCGGTATCTTCAGCGATTTCTGAAACTTGAGAGGCTCTGGCGCCTGATATGGGCTTGAACAACGCAACTACCGTAACGCAACCATCAACTCAACGCTAATGCACATGAACTAACAAAAATGTTTGCACTTTTTTTTACCTACAGGTAACAGTGCCATCGCAAATTTGCTGCAAATTCGACCAATTTTGTGCACAAATTTTGATACGTTGAATATGGGAAGTTTTGTCACTACTTTACACTGAAAAAAACGAAAAAAAGTTATGAGAGCTCTGTCAGAAAACGACTCTGACAACACTGTGCATCGCTTTTTTTATGGACATTTTTATTGAATCGGTTTGCAGATTGGCATAGTTTGGTTTCGGTAATGGTATAGTGCCTAGACTAGTTCTGGCTTGGCGTGAAGTGGCGCCCGAATTCTGCGCGAAAATGAACGTTGCATCAAGAAATATTTCTCTCGATTGTAAGTTCAGTTCGTGATTCTTGTGGCTATGAATGCTAGTTGATATTCGTCGCCGTAGCTGCATACGCTTCGTTTACAGTAATTTCTGTCCAAACACTGCTAGTTTATTGTGACTGCTGAGCCCTTGAGGCCCTCATAGTGAGAAAAGATAGTACATAGATATTTTCTCTGCTACAAATAGGAGAACGCATCAAGTTTGACCTTGCCTTTGGAATATTTCGTCGTATTTTGCGGCAAATTAGGCAGTGGTCCTGGACGTCGCAATAAGTTACCTCTCTGAAACGAATGGAAAGATGAATGTAATTCATCCTTCAGTGAAAGCACGTACTGGTCAGTTTGTTCAGACGCTCATACTGATGTTGACACGGACGCAGTATTTCTGAAATGTTTAATGGTATGTTACAGTGGCTGTGACACACCGATGCTGAGCACACCGTTCAATTTGTGGCAGCGTGTCCCTACCCGATTGTGGCAAAACGCAATGTTTACTGAATTGTCTGTGCATGCAATAAGTAAAGAACCTGAGCCAGCTTTTAGTTTACAGGCACAAACATCTTTCTTTGTCATTCAACACGTTTATATTAAAATTATGCAAGCTTTTTAGGCTTTATTCGAGGTTATAAATTTGAACTGCTAGCCGCGGCTAGTAGTCGGATCATTCATTTTTGAGCAATACACACGCATCACCATCAGAAACGCATCATGGTCTTTGAAGCTTCTTTTGAAGCGTCTGTTTCTGAGCATTGCGATAGTTAAGTGACCATCGGACCCTTAACAGTCTTGTTTTTCCTTTAGTTCTGTCTAAGTACTTGACATTTTAGTCAATTGCTACTAAAAAGCATGCTTTGATCTATATGTAAAAGTTGTAAAGCATATACAAAGACATAAGTAGCATAACAAAGTTTGTTTTCTACGGCCTATTTGTGGCTTTCATGAGTTATGAAACAATTTAATGGAGAAATTGGTAAAAATATGCCTCAATTTACCAAAACAGTGTTATATTGGATTTTTTACCTTCGACAGCCAGAAATGGTAATGGAAGAGGCTTGAGGGGGATGCTGTTCATTTCAACCTCCCCACAATGATACCCATTCTTGTTGCATCTGAGCAGTGCACCTCCTCTTATGAACTTCTAATCCTGACGTCAACATGACCACCGCTCTAACTTTCAGAATCAAAGCAAAATTCTGTATCTGAATAATTAGCACGTACCTGAGCAGCTGTACGATGACGGAAGACCTCTTTTCTGAGACAATGCACGAGCATCACTTTTGCTGGACATTTTCTAAACTCGAGTCGCGAAAAAATTTCAGATGGCAATTAGAATAAAAGTAATTTCCAAACAAGTGCAGCCATCTCTGAAGTGACACACGAACTACCTTGGCAACAGCAAGTCTTGTGGGGAGATGTCATCTCAAACGAATGAACCACACTTGTCCAAAGTCATTTGAGCATAGTTTGGCAAGGACGAGCTGTGCTTGTCCAAAACGATTATACGGTTAAAGACCATGCTGGTACAAGGACTGGCGAGCGCGAAAAAAAAAAACAAAAAACATGTGCATGCCTTTCTAGGTGCGCACCGGTGAGCAAGCGGGCAATAGTTCTGATCATTTTATAGGCAGCCACTAGGAGGTAGAAGTGGGTGAAGAGCAAAGTTAGGCTAGTCGGTAGAGATTCACATTAAAAAATTTTTTTACTGCCGTGTAAACGCAGACAAAAGAAGACTAAAAGATGGGGTTCTTTCTGTGCATCCTATCTTCTTTTTTCAATTTTTCTGGTACAGGACACCTTTGACGCACGTTTCATAAACCAGCCTTCATTTATATATTTAATTGTTTGTGCCATTGGATAAATTTTCAAATAAAAAAAAAAATCTTTCTTCGAGTATGCAACAAGGATTTCATATAGACGAGGAGAAGGACTGGCCTCCTTTGCCGGGTGGTATCAATACACTTTAAAAAAAAGAGGGTTTTCTTGGTGCACCTTTTCATGATACATTGTTAATTGTCATGCGACTTGCTTGAGTTTCTTTTCCTGAACACTGTGCTTGCTACTTTCCTATGAAAAGTGCCGCCTCCCACTGATACTTGAAAGTCATGATTAGAAGTACAGGGCACGCATTGATAACTTAGGTAGTGGATTTCAAGATAGATGATTATTGTTTGTGATATGAAGATGTCCCAAATACGTGTTTCATGTGCTATCGTTGTCAAATGAAACGTGAGCAGCGGCAAGCTTTAGCGATTGCATAATGCACGCACTTTAGTAATTTGATGACTGATATGTGGAGTTCAGCGTCCCAAAACCACCATATCATTATGAGAGATGCGGTAGTGCAGGGCTCCGGAAATTTCAACCACCTGGGCTTCTTTAACACGCACTTTATTGATAGTCATTGACATACACGCACGTCCTATTCGGTAGGACGTGCGTGTATGTCAATGACTATCACGTCCTATTCGGTAGCACAACGCATATGCATCTCATTACGACACTGCCGTTTTGCCGAGTTGGCAGCACGACGAAACAAGTAGCTTTAATGGAGAGTTAAGCCAGTGTGCGAACATTTAAGCATACAAGAAAAACTAGTGAAGAAGTCAACTGCTAAGAGATGTGTGGAGAAAGAAGCAAACAAAATAAAATCTGAGCATGCATCGAGCCATAGAGAACTATGCAGATCTAAATTTAATTTTCATTTCATTCTTTTAAAAATTACTGCCATTAGCATTATGTTGAGATATATACTTGAAGGCTTGCAAAAATATTAAAGAAAGCCTTTGACTGCAATTACCATGTAAGCATGGCATTTATTCAGTTTTTTCTTACCCTTTTGTTTTTTTTACCATTATTTATTCTGTGTACTCACCTTCGAAAAATAGCGGCTAGCCATATGTTACCTCTATCTCTCTCTATTAGTATGGTCTGCTTTACCTGGTGTTGCTATACCCTTCAACTATGTTGATGTCTGCCGAGCTACAATGTCTCTATAGGTATGTGTAACCAAAATATATAAGTTTTTGTGTAATGTTTTTTTCTCTTCAGCCTTTTCAAACACCCAGCTTTTTTTTTTTTTTCCGAGTTCTTCAAATATTAAAAGCGCTCGTGTATTACAGACACTGGCATCATGACAATCCTAATGAATTAATAATAAGAACAGCTGGGTGAGCTTGTAAACATGAAATTAAGTGTGGGTAAAAATACAACAGGGAGGAACAAATCATAAATGAGGACATGCTATCAGCAACAGAAGTTATTGAAAAATAAAGAAAACAAAGATATACACGTTCTTTATGGTGAACTTCTGAGTGCCAGCCACCGCCCTACTACTCATCATTCCATAGCAAATCAGTCACTTGGTCTAGGTGACGCCACGAACAAATTACGTATATGTAACACATGTACAGCAAGAGAAGCTTTTAACAAGCGATAAGAGGTATGCAGCTGCAAAATGGCTTTACGATAGCTAATGTAATAGTCTATACATGTGCCAAGTTGTTATGGGCATCGAGGTGAACAAACCTCCCAGTTTGATACCACTGCAGAGGGGCAGCTAATGTGCAGTTACCGACATCTTCGATATGGGCATAACCTCAATGACATCCCGAGTGTTGCGATTTCTCTCGTGTGATTACACATGACAGTTTAGTCACACATCTCTTGTGTATTTGCATCAGCCACTGCCAAGACTTCCCGTAGTGCCTGGTCCGAACGAGAGACTATGCTGCTCATTGACTTGTGGGAGACATACTTTGAGGACCTGCGTAAGACGAAGCACAATGGAGCAGTATACCTGGAGATAGCTTTCAGGCTGCGTGCAAGCGGCTACAACAAAAGCAAGAAGCAAGTGCAGCACAAGATAGATAACATGACCCAGATGTACAGGTGAGCCCGTCAGCGTGCTGTATCAGGGGTGCGTAAGGCCCATTCGGTGTATTTATTTGTGTAAATTTATTTAAAGATACTGCGATTCCATGAAGGAATCTCTGCTAGGTGGGAATTGCAATTGGTAGTTACAAAAATGATAAAAAAAGGCAGGTATGTAACATTTAGCAAAAACATAACTTAATATGAAAGCAATATATAAGCAGGAATGCAAGGTCAGATGTTGTAAGTATATTTATGCATGTTTTACCATATGCGATTCTGAGTGATGCCATGCATAACTGAAAACACAGATGATAGAGGATCGTAACTTGTTGAACAGAAAGATTGATCGAATTGTTTTTCAGAAACAATTACGGTAATACACTTTTAAGTATCTAGGGATTTTAATGTGTTCTGTGAAATATATTAAAAAAGTGCCTTGTGAATTTTTGTTGTCCATTTGTGTTAGTAATACCACACATGCATTGTGCAGCTGTGTTGCTTGTCAAAATGTTCAGAAAGTTGACAATTGGTTTTCTTCATATGGACAGTTGTATAGATTAGTGCTGTAAGTGCTGTGCAAAATAAAGGTGTGTGCATTTCTGTGGCAACAAAGATTACCATCATCATTGCCAGCAAGGAGCATGGCTCGCCCGGCTCGTGACGCTTGCGCTACGAGCGAACTCGACTTGGCCGATTCCATGCTGAGGTGGAATAAACGACGTGCCACAGATCTTTCCTTGATTGAGGGTCATGTTCTGTAGCAATTTTGACTATTCACCAAGTAGGCTTAAAACTATAATATGCAGAGTTTTATTCTCTAAGGTGAGTAAAACAAGAAAACTATTTTATATTGCAGCAGAAAATATTTCATCTGTGCTAACCAACAGATTATGTGCACAGCTACCAACAATGTGAGACGCGTGCATCTGAGTGTGCAGCGCAGCACGATGTAGGGCATAGGTATTTACAAATAAAATGAAATATAGCAAACAGCATGGCTGTCTAATGGAGCAGTATCATATTTATAATTTATATCTAAAATCAGAAAATTAACGCAAAAACAGGGAGGACTGGGTGGACAGTGGTAGACTTCCAAGGGCATCACGGATCTAATTTTTGCCACCCTGTCATAGGTGGTGCCCCCTGTACAGCTCAATGCAGCAGCACATGAGATGGAAAGAGTTGAAGGAGGGAGGAAAAAAAAATGGCCGTATCTGCATGTAATCTGCAAATGACGTCGAAAGACGATAGTCTTTCGTGTGGAAAGAGTGGAAAAAACATTTATTTTGTGTTCTGCACAAGAAAATCGGTGAATGGTATTACGGAGGTGCTGCGTTAGAGTGCCTCGAGCGGGCAGCGGAGGCTCACGAGCGCATCAGGTCATGTCACACGTGAGCCATGAGCGCCATCTGGCAGTTTCTTTTGGAAAACAAAGCGCGTGGCCGTGCGCGCCCATCTCAGAGGTGATAAGGTGTAGAACGCGAGGCGACGGGTAGGTGCCACCACCATCTCGTCTTAGCAAAGCATTGGAAGCACTTCCCATTCCGTGCAAGCGTTGCATGGTAAGCGCAGCGTGATAAGCGTTACGGTCCTTAAAATTACTTATGTATGTGTTTTTCGAGTAAGAGATGCCTACACAGAATATATGCGTATTGTTAGGGTGCCCCAGACATGCACAATAATTGCTTTTTAATTGACAATTGCACAAGCATGAACGCTCAACCTTGAGCAACATTGGTGGTCGCTGCGGATGGGGTCGGCCGTTTCAAGTATCCGATGCTGGTAAGAGTGGACAAACAGACAATGTACAGACAGACAGACCAAACTTTTTGCGTCGAAGGTCCCCAAGAAAGACTATTGTTTTTAAAAATGTGACTATCCCGTTTGCTTCTCTACACTGAGGCACAGGAGAAGTGAATGGTAAGATAAGGTGGTGTCGCTGCTATTCACACAATGGAATTAAGAACTGTGGTTGCTCATGCATATTTGCTATTCATAAGACTTCGATAAGCATTCATAGTCCTTTGTCACGACAGCTTATTGTCGGCCTGCTAGGCTTCACCACTCTGCTGCTGTTTCAGTAGTTATAAAACCTCTAAAGTGGAGCAGAGAAAAGGCATCTCATTGGGCATCATATCTGGCATACTGAACTCTTCTTGATGTCTCAATAACACTAAGGACGTCACCTGCCTGAAAATTTGTCACTTCTGCCCATACTTCTCTTGATTTGTTTTGTGCACTGAGCTTCATAAAACTGCCGAATAATACAACACACACGGTCATGGCTAGTATTCCCAAGGTTGTACAAACAAAGAAATATACCCAAAAAAGTGACAACAAAAATGCCTGCTGCCTCAAGACAATGGGTTGTCTGTCTTGCACATAATGCAAAGTTCATGGGTTTTCATCCTGTGGCCAGCATGTTATTTTTTCATCCATTTTGATTGCTGTTTATCTTATAATTTACACACTTCAATTTTTAAAAATTGCAGATAACATCCCCTATGTTTCCCTTCACTTAATTATTTTTTGACATCGTACAGTAATGGCCTGTAAAGATGGGTGCCTTAATGCATGTCCCCTGCCCCATGCAACATACAGAGCAAACCTTGAGCATTTCTTTTCCTTGCTTGTATTCCCTCGTTTAGTCATAGCATGCTGTGCTTTGTTATGCATATGTTTTGTGTGTCTGTCTTCAGTCCTGACATATTTCAAAGCATTCCTTGAGTAATGCTTGGTGTCTTGCTGCGCAGGAAGTGGACAAGAAGAGGGAATAAGCCAGCCCGGCCTATTTGGCCTTTCTACCGGCCCATCCACCGGTTAATGCAAAAGTTCAAACCAAAGGTTATTGCAGCATCTGAGGTGGGTCACGATGATGCATGCAAGTAGATCTCGCTCCTGCTAATTAGATGTAGGTAGTGTAATGACGAGAAATGGACACAACGCCTGATCGTTGACCGGTTGTTCTATTATCCCCTTCCTCTTCCCCTGCTTTGCCATCTAACCTCCCTAGCACGCGCCCGCACCTCAGCGGCACTCTTGTCCTACATTAGTAACTTAGCCATGTGCACAAGCAGGCAGAGAAGGCCCCCTTCCCTTGCCTTGTCGTTTGATGAGTGCACCAAGTCTGCGCCATAACTTTACTTTCTTAGACGTGTACTGCAGTTGTTCAAAGAACAGGGTTATGGGTACACAGGTTTTTCACGATTGTAGAGACGCTACACCTCTGATGTTGCGTTCCAGGAGCCGAGGACCAATTTCAAGCTGGTGTAACGTTGTTAGTTCAATATAAGTGTTTTTTGAACATATCAGAGCTTCAATTTAACGTATGCCACCAGGAACAGCATTGTGCATGCCATCATTCCTGAATGGTCACTGGGGGTCAGCATCTTGTTTCTTATTGTTGTGGGTTTGTTTGGGAACTGTGGAGTAGCAAACCCACTGTGAACGTAACCAGGAATATTTAATTGTTCTGAGACTGTGCCACGTGTGAGTGACTGCCATTATCAGGGTTAAACAGCATTTTTATTAACAAAAGATTTCATGTGTTTTTGTAAGGGCATGCAGTTATTTAAAATTTTCAAATAAAGTAAGTAATGCATATTCAAAGTATACTAAATATTTTTCAAATATTTTCGAATAATCGGCAGCAATGGGAAATGCCCAAAGGCACAACACATTAGAAGAGCAAAGGATAATCTGTATTGTTTTAATTAGAAGGTTGCCAATATGCATACAGATCAACTTTTTACAGGACTATCAAAGCTTTACTCATCAACAGATGAAGGGCTTTTGCGTTAAACTTTTGCTGTTGCCAAGCAAATGTTTTTAATGCACAATATTTGTAATGAGATTCATGATGTTTGTTTGATAAATATTACCTCTTTAGGTCTTTGTGTTATTAAAAATGTGGTGACAAAGTACCACATAAAATACTAAAGTAACTGCTTTATTAAACCTAAACTTAAAAAAATACCCCAAAGACTCTAGTCGCTGCTGTATACAAGCTTGCCACCTCAGTCTACATAATTGTGGCATCTTTTCTGCGGTTAAATCTAGTAGTAATGTTACATTGTTAAAGTTTGTCAATGGTTGTTGTAAATAAAAAGTTATTGTATTCGAGGCTTGTCTTGAAAATGGTTACTTCACTATTTGAAAACTATTCCAATAGTGTTCTATTCGTATTCCATTGGTATTAAATTTTACTATGTATTCCTTTACCCTGCTTATAATAATTTACTTTAGTCAAGAAAAGGAGAGTAAATTTTAAGGGCCGATTTTCCTTGATGGACACAATAATGAAAACTTCATGAAAACTGACAGACGATTTCATGGCATAATTGTCTGTCAGTTTTCATTAATATTGTGTCTAATGAAAAAAAAACGAGCCCTTCAAATTTTTCCTTTTCTTCATTCATATGAAGAGTCTATTTCTGCCAGACCTAATGCCTTCAGGTGGAATGCAATGGATTATTGGTCAGCTGCCAGCTCATTGTAAGATCATGTGCTATGTGCCATTAAGAGGCAAAAAATGAGTGTCCCACACTCGCCAGAATGCCAACAGCTGGCGCTGACTGACGCTCTCACATTTAAATTTACATACCTACCCCATAAAGTGGATGGGGGGATAGCCGCCTTGGGAGCTCAGTTGGTAGAGCATCAGACACGTTATTTGAATGTCACTGGTTCGCCCCTGTCTATGGCAAGTTCTCTTTTCGTCCACTTTTCTTCATTCACAGTTACGTTACAATCACTTCGAACAACATCCCCTGTATTTTCAGTTAGCATAATTATCTGTCAATTCTAATCAATATTGCATCTAACAAAGAAAATCAGCTTTTAAAATTTACCCTTCATTATTTTGCACTTTCAGGCACCAACTGTAGGGTCAATTACATGAAGTTTTCGCTCTGAGCATGTAAAAATCTCGTGCATATTTATTTTGGCAAATGTTCACAATACTGACAAATAACCAGCCGTATACCTTTGCATCTTTCACCTTCTATTTTGTTGTACCTACCAGACATTAGGCATATATTTTTGCTCTTGCAAGTTCTCAAATGATGAATGTTAACTGTAATGCTCATAAAATTGTTTAGCTGTGATGTTCTTTACCCTCTAGGAATGAAGCTTTACAAGAAGCAATGTATTATAGTCTCCAGTGGCTGTTATAAAATTAAACAACATTCAGCACAATAAGCATATTCAAATTAAATTGTATTATCTAGAGAATTGCCAATATTAAAAAATTTTGCTTTGCTTCTTCAGGAACAACGTGCTGTGCCAATGCAGAGTGATGAGACAGTGCAACAAGTGACCGATGAGGCATTTCCTGGGCCTACTGAAACCGAGCATTTGTTGCCTGACATACCGTCGCCACCCACGCATCTCATTCGTCAAGTGAGTTCGGTGAATTTCTTAAATTATTACATGCATCATGCAGCTCCCAATTTCTCCCTACCACCTTTTTTTTTTTAGTCTTTCATTATGTATCGCTCAACCGTACTTAGTCTCAGAGGCAAGGTAGGAGCTGACAGACGTCCCTACTTTAAGATAATAATTTTGTATCTTTGGTGTAGAAGAGAAAGATTTGCTGCATCAATTACTTGCCTGCCAAATCCTCTGACCATGATTCAGACTGGAAGCAATGTCACTGATAGCTTTCTGCGAATAGTCAATTTTAGGTTCAAAGTGAATTTGGAGTGAAAGTGATTTTGGTTGAATAATGTTGAATCGAATTTGAATGGTATGTGTCACATATTCTAAAAAAAAGTGGGCATATTTGTCATGCCAACTAACCTGCACGGTATTTCTTTTTTAATTATAACAGACCTGTGCAAATGCCATTCTTTTTGTTTCATAGAGAGTGGAAACAACTTTGAATAGTAACAGTATTTGACTTTTGGTAGAATGACAGTGATAACCTGAAAAATATGTGAAGTTTTTGAAATTTGCTGTTCTTGTGGAGTTGTGAGCGCTTCGTCAAAGTACTGATGTGAAGGAAACAAGAACAGGACGCACTGCTTGCCAAATTCGAGCGAATCAGTGGTGGCCAAACCAGGCAGTCCATTTTAGTGATGCATTGGGAACAGCTATACATGTATATTATTCCCTCGTGCACGCACACACACACATGCACGCATGCACACTTGCCGAACTCGAGTGGATCAGTGGCGGCCAAATCGGACAGCCCATTTTAGGGACACATCGGTTATGGCTATGTCCTTTAGCTATTCAGATGCACACACACACACTGGTCGCATACATGCACAGACTGGGTGTTTCAAGAAATGTGTTTAAAATCCTCGAATATTGGCAAAATGCAATATATGTTTGATGCCTTCATACTGAATCCTTCTGTAACTGCCTGTCATCTCAAGATAGTTAAAAACATCATTTATGACAGTAATTAAAAAGTTAATCAATTTTTTAATTTCAGGAGCTAGCTAGCTATGTCAAATGTGGAGAATTGAAGTTTTTCATGTGACAGAACCCATCTTAGGATTTAAATATAAAAGGGGCCTCTAGTGATTATTGTTGCTTAATGAAGCTCAACCAAAATTAATGGCAAAACAGAAACAAAGATAAGTGCAACAAGCAGACAACCAGGAAGACGTCACTGCAGAAGACGGTGATTACAGAGGTGTAATTTTATGCATTCTTCAGTGTGTGTGCATCATGCAGGCAGCAACTACAAGAGCAAACGACGCACCCCACAAAACAAAGTTTATTGAAGAAGTTGATTCATGGTTGATATAACAATGCTCACACATTTTGGTTGTCTCGTCTCGGAAGAATGTGGCAGTTGCACTCTCCGACATTTTGGTTTCAGTTTTGCCGCTGAATTAGGTGTATTCCGCGACTTCACAATTTTCACTTGGGCAGTTTTTTTTTTTTTTTTTTTTCAGAATCTGAAAGCTGCAATGGGTTAATTGCATGAAGAACTTTAATTCCTCCATTTTACATAACTGCCTTACCCCACTTATTAAAAAGATATATTGCTTTTTTCTGATTTTTAAAAAATGTTGGACACATTTCTTGAAACACACATTCCATACATGTAATTCACTACCAGGAAGTATCAAAATGAGAAGATAAGCAAGTTGTAATGCATACAGTATAAACTTAATGCAGCATGTGCAATGAACGCAGAAACTTAGTTCGTTGATGGTCATTAATGCTGCATTCATTTGCTTCGTCAAGAAATTTGGATGTCCTCATTGAGTAAGTTTTTCACTCTAATGCTGTAACCAGGTCGAAGTAAGTTTCAGATTCGATGGTAACTGTGCCATTTTTTACGCAGCCTGATGTTCACCTGAAGCAAGAGCTACGGGATGAAGATGCGAGTGAAAGGAGCATGAGTGAGCAGGTGGAAGCCAATGGTGGCATCATAGCCCACTTCAGGCACCGCCACGAAGACAGACTGGCCTCAGAGTTCATTGAATCTGCATCAACGGGTACTGTTGACATTTTGAAAGGTGAGTTACTCAAAACGTAAGCTAGAGCAACACGTTAACTTTTAGTCCTGTCGTCAAAATTTTGCAACATACTGAATCTGAACACGGCAAATCTGAGAGCAGCAGTCAGAAGATAGGAGTATCATACCTGCAAACCCACAGGATTCGTTCGTGAGGCTCCCACTTCTGACCAGGTCCTCCCGATTGTACGGGTGTTGCCAGAATTATCCCAATATGCGACCAGCCCAAGTGAAAATAACATGACAACGGTTCTAAAAATATTTTGGCCTTGAGGAATCGGGACAGCTTTCCACAGTACACTGTCCCCTTTCGACCTATGTATGGGAAAAGCAGGTCACCCTGTTTGTGTGTGGCCATAAATATTTACTCTTTGACAGATTATTATCTTGACTAGGAACTCGTGGTGGCATCACACAGCAGCACACATGAAGTTAACTTCACCGTTTGACAGCATCTTGAAGTGCAGTGTGCCAAATGTCGGAAAAAGTGACCCTACTTTATTTAGAGGCTCACAGCAGATTTTGTTCTGTGTGCGTCTGTGATTAAACATGTGCACTTAAATTACGAACTCCAGTATATACGATTGCCTGCGTGTAAAAGCTTTACTGCAACCATTCAGAGCTTTGTATGATATCACTGCGGCCCAGAGAAGCAAGAAATGAAAACTTGCATATTTTCTGTAATTGAAGTGCAACAACAATACTTTCTCTATGACGACCATTATGTACAATTGCTCGAGATAACTGCACCATGTCTCTATTAATCTGGCCACTAAAGGTAATGTTGGCTCTGAAGTATATGAGTTCCAACAGAGTTTATGCCAATATGACATGAACTGAAGCTTGGGGAAACGAAAGAACAGCTCAAAATTGTCACATTTTAACCTGTGAGCACTAAGGACAAAGTCAGTGTCTTTGCTTCAGCTGAGCACAAGGCTGCTATCAAAATGTCATTTTAGGGAGACTCACAATGGTGGTATATATGAACAAAAGCTCAGACATTCAATTCCTGCTTGCTGCATTCCGATGAAAGCCCATTACAGTGTACTGTGTAGCAACTACTGTCAGGCTTTAGTGATTGCATGTTGAATAATAATGATAGATTTAGCTATAACAATTCACTACGGTACTCTTTATAACACTCTCTTCAGCTTTGAATGACTTTAAAACTCACAATTTATTGGTCATTTGGAGTAAAGTGTAAGCATGTTTATATTTGAGTATGTATTTAATGCTAAGCAATCTTTTTGTCAAAGGGAATCTAGTACGCATTCTTTATAGTGCAGATGTTTAGAATGTGTGTGGGGCTTTGAACATCGTCATAGGGTACAAATAACAGTAGTACCCGTTTGGTTAATTTTGCTGCACAGAAATCCTTGAAGAGCAGAAGAATCTTCGGCTGAGCATAGAAGACTCTCAGCGACGCACGCACGAGCTTCTGCTCAGGCAAACACAGCTACAGGAGCGTGCCACTGAAGCACTCATCCAGGTTGCAGCTGCCATCAGTTCGTGTATTAAAGCACCATCATTGTCATCATATACAGCTTTCCTCACACTCGTTTGCTTAGGGAGTCTATTTTCTATTTGAGTGAAGGGTACCACACATTGAGGTACTTTTTCCTAAACTTCGAAAAGAAACATTTAAAGACGTAACTATTGCATTGTACAGAACAGCATTTATTTTACTGGTCGTTCCTCTAGTTTCTAATGCACAAGTGAAGAAAAGTTCATTTGTTTGAATGTGACGCATCCATCAAAGAACCATTTCCAAGGCAAATGGCACAAAGAAACACCGACCTTGAAAAAACGGGCACACCTGTGGTATCGTTTAGAGGAACTGCTGACACAGCTACATTGTTTTGTAAAAGCAAAGTGCTTTGTAGGTTTGAAATTCAAGGTGTGTTTTGAGAAAGGTCTGATGAAATATGTGTTGCTAGATATCTGTTGTGTTGCGCACTTCACAATATTTAGATTCACAGATTGAGCAACGTTAACATCTCTTATTTTTTCCAAGGTGTGCTCGTCCATTTCTTTCAATGTCTGTGTAATTTATTATTTTATTTTATATATAGATACTGAAATCTGTTTTGGGAATTTTGGCAGTGAAGGGTTACAATGCAAGAAGAACAAAAGAGCAAAGAAATGCAGAAGACTAGTTTGTCAAAAAAAAAAGTATTCACAAATTGTCTTGAAGCAAAATTGAACCATTTAAAATTCCAGAGTACAAAACTAATGAAACTTATGAAAGGTTATAGGGCAAAGGGTTATAATACCTGTGTCATACGAACTCTTTTGGAAGGTTATTCAGTTGATGGCCATCGAAATGCCATAACTTTATTGACTCGATGGAGTCAATAACGCCATTGCTCTATGGCTAGGTGGCATATAAAATAAGGTGCACCGGCAATTGCAAAATGCTGTGTAATGCGATGTTTGAGTGGAGAGGTTTTGGTGTCTTGATCATCGTGATATTTAAGGCTAAGAACATGACACGTATCAATGGCAGTGATGGTATCCTGCTTCCCGGCACTTCTAATTGTGGCATCGGCAGGGCTATGTGTGAGTTAGTTTGTCTGGTTGAAAGGAAAAAGCCCACATCAAGTAGCAGAACCTTTTGTCGATCAACGGACTTTAGCAGGCGAATCATCCAGCGGCCCTCCTGATTGAAAAGTTGTTGATTATGAAAATGAGGACTGTTGTGCAAACAGAGACGTTCTAATGAAAGACCAGTTGCTATTTCATATTTTCATGTCATGTGTGACCACATGAAGAAGGTGTGAAGCCGTTTTGTTTTTATTTTTTTTCTTTTGGTTGGAAATAAGTTGTAGCATAGCCACAAAGCAGTTCCAGATGTTCCAGATGATGTTCCAGATGATGCAAAGACATGAAGTGATTGTGACAGGACTGAGTTACTTGATTGTTGAGAGGGGGCAGTTTATCATATTCCCGTCTAGCAGAAAGTAGACATGCTCAGACTGCTTGGTGATTGAACGATCATTTAATGCACTACACATCTTCGTTGGAAGGGCAGTTGTCGTTAAATGTGACATTGTGAAAAATTTGCCACCCGCTGTTTGTAGCAGCCAAGGCCTGAAGGAACACTTTGATGGATAATGATCACTTTGAAAACTCAAATGTTGTTAATATCATAACTTTATTAGTAGAGAAAAAAATCAAGGTGAATGTTTCATTTTTAAATTTCACGTCGTAGTCTCCGCGCACAACATTGTTGATTTCAAAGTGCATTTTTGATATCTTGGCGACTTGGGCTCCACCAAATTTACTAGATATTAGGATGCGAAGTCTGTGATGCTCTGCAGAAAGCAGTGGACTTCATTTTTACCGATTAGGAACTACACACAGAGCGACGGGCGTCGGCAGGGCGTGCAAGGGGGCACTTGTTACCCTCAAGCCACTGCAGCGCTTGCCCCCAACCGAGGTAATCCAGCACTCCTCCCCCTGTCACGACGGAATGCGGATTTGCACCCCCAAGACAAAGGCTTGTCGACATCTATGCACAGGGTTTAGGCATAGCAGAAAGCTTTTCAACGGGAGGGGGGTGCTGCTTTAATCTGAAGTGGGGCCGGGCAGGCAATGTGTCAAAGAGTTCTTTTGCTGCCGCTTGGAGGTTGTACTCATGGGCGTCTGTAGGAGAGTGCAAGCCGGGCACTTGCCCCCCTGGAGCCTCATGAACAGTTGTCCCACTCCCTCTTCTTCAGCCGCGATGCAACACGTTCGCACCCGTCCCCAAGACGAAATCCTACGACACTCATACCTCGTGCTTTTAACCGCTACACTTTTTTTTAACTCGATCAGCTTCACTATGTGCACAAAGTGGGCTAGACAAGCAAGTCTCTGCAGCAACTGGTTCCGCCTTGAAGCCCTTTATATGCAACTCCGCAAAAGATTCAGTTGTTAATATGATGCTGTTTTCTTTTAACAAAATCCAGAAAAATTGGGCCACAGAGTGCACTATATATATTTCGCTTATATCCTCCGAAGAAGAAGGCTGGTCCACCAGTTGAAACTGATAGGATTAAATAAAAAATTATTGTTTTGTTTTCTATACTGCACTATTCTTAATGTTTATCAATTTTATTACGGTAGTCAGAAGAAACTCGGATCATCTATTTATATATATATATATATATATATATATATATATATATATATATATATATATATATATGAGTAATAATTCAGTGGGCCAGGTAGTCTTCGTGAAGGTATGGGATATGGCACAACGGGAGCGTTGTCAACAAGGATAAATATATTTATTTCCCAACAGTTTCGGGAGGGGTCCTCCATCAGGGGATGAGTTATCCCCTGATAACTCATCCCCTGATGAAGGGAGGACCCCTCCCGAAACTGTTGGTAAGTTTATTTATCCTTGTTGACAACGCTCCCCTTGTGCCATATCCAATACCTTATATATATATGTGTGTGTGTGTGTATATGGAATATGGGTCATTCTATATCAAGGGTACTCGGTCAACCCAATCAATTATAACCATCTCTGATTAGGATGAAAAAATTGTGCACGTAAATGTCAATTAGAGAGGTAGGTATTAGTGCGTTAGAATTTCGAAAAAAATTTGTGTGGCCTAGTGTGCGCTTCAAACTTTGAGCACCCAAGTGAAACCTTTTCACTCTAGATACTTTATACAATATTACTGGTGTGAGTAATCAACACGAAATAATTTTTGTTTATCTCAAGGTGCTACTCTTTCATGACCATGATAGTTTCTTCATTTTTCTTTTAAATTGCTTTCTTTTTCGCTTTGGCGATATATTGCAATATGCTGCATGTTTAGCATTTTTTATAAAAAGCACAACTTTCTTCTCGAGTAATATATGCCATTTTCTGTTTTATATATTTCTATATTACTGACTGAAATGCTTTAGGAGCAAATGAAGCGATTTGATTGATTGATATGTGGGGTTTAACGTCCCAAAACCACTATATGATTATGAGAGACGCCGTAGTGGAGGGCTCCGGAAATTTAGACCACCTGGGGTTCTTTAACGTGCACCCAAATCTGAGCACACGGGCCTACAACATTTCCGCCTCCATCGGAAATGCAGCCGCCGCAGCCGGGATTCGAACCCGCGCCCTGCGGGTCAGCAGCCGAGTACCTTAGCCACTAGACCACCGCGGCGGGGCAGCAAATGAAGCGAAAATATCATGAAAATATTGTGTCCAAGTTGGGCAAAACACAATTTTGACTCATATTGCAACTTAAATTTTGCAATGTAGCAGTGCAAGTAAATGTATAGCTTTTATATTGTTTCACATTATAGTTTGTTGGTAGGAGAAGCAGAAAGTTTCAAAAGAGTAGTTATTGTTTTAAGGGAGAAAAAAAGAATTCCATGAACAACCACAAGGTAGCAGGAAGCCTGCCTTTGCCTCAACTTCACTCCAGAGCATGTCAGCATGAGGTTCCAGCGTGGGCTTTTCGGCAGCGAATCATGCATGTCATACAACTCCTTGTCACTTTTTTTAGTATTACTGCTGCATATAACGTCGAAATGGGGCAGTATTGCCTTCTTATTTTAATAGCATCTTCTCCCCATGAACCATCAAAGGGCAGGTTATATAGAATCGCTTCTTAGTCTCAAGCGGCATAATTTTAATGCAGTCGATGGCCTGCGATAGAGTATTCATGTGTTGTGTTTGGCTTCTGATAATTAATGCACATGGTCTTATTAATAAATAATGACATAATTTAACTATATTTTATCCAGGCTACATGTTTATGATGTTTCAGGTATAGGGCGATGCGTGATCGCTTACTATATGTATGTTAATTTATGGCAACACTTGCCATGTCTTCAGTTGGTATAAGATTGATAACTATCGCAGTTATCTCTGAAAAATATCTCTGAAAAGACGTAAACATGACACCAAGCGAAGTCGCTTATCTTGTGGAAACAACTATTGATTCACGCAGATGTGGGACAGAGCACCATACCAAGGAGACGTTTTGTTGTAGCGCATTCAATTGCGTCGCTCTTGTGTGTAGTCGTAGTGTCCTTGATTGTACTGACCCTGAAGAAAGTTTGCGATTAGCCTGCAATGAGACGCATACACGAAGGGATCTCATGACGAGCATTGGAGGTCTTCATCTGTGAGCTCCTGCACTTTCCTCCGCCACAGCGCCTCAGGTGCCCAGCAATCGGCACTCAGCAACTCGACCGGGAAGGCGCGCAGGTGCTCCACCGAACAGTTGCACATCAATGGATTGCCTGCATCAACCAAGACGGCACCCGCATACAGGTCCATGAAACAACAACCTGACAGGGCCGAAAGATCTCCATGCAATGCACAGACTGCAGCTTTTCATGAAATATGAAAAGTTCTGCAGCCTATAGTGCACTCTGCAACACTTGGAGCCAAAAACCTGCCTCACACTTGCAATGCAGTAACTTATAGACCAGACTTGAAAAACAGAATGAGCCGCATTGTCATGCAGTAAATTAGGTTGATGTTTACAAATTGGAGCAAAACGGTAAGGCGACCTAGTTGGTACTAATTGATATTGGCGTAGAAGTAGCACACAAAAAAGAAACGACGAAGACAAGAGCACTTGTGATGTTCACTTTCTTGTCCTCATCGTTTTTTTTTTTTTTTGCGCTACCCTTATGCCAATATGAATCAGAAATTGGAAGCTGCAAAAAAGATCATCAGGTGGACTAATTAATACATATTCGTTCACTAAATAGAAAGTGCGAAAATGGGCGAGGAAGAACTACACAACAGAGCGCTCTCTAATGACTGGTCTTCACTGGACATTAGAAAACGTGCTCACTTTTGTGCAAAAATGTGTTTTTCGAACGTGTAATAAAAACTATATTTGTTAGTGAGAGGTTACACTGTGCGGTTGTTGCTTGCTTGTTCCGGCGCTCCCAGTTTGCTGAACGAATACAAATGGGAATGATTTGAAAAACAAATGTCGACTCTTTTTAAGTGGCAAGTGCTTTTCTTTTTCTAGTTAGTGCGATATAAAGATCGGGCTCCACATTTCTTGCGTACGTACAGTCATCAGAAAGGGCAGCGTTTATGACGTCATTTTCTCTCACCGCCGAGCTCGATGGCTTCGATGGGTGCGTCAAGAAGGGGCGCCAAGCCAGCCTTGGTTACAGTGGCCAGAGAATTGCTGCCCAAATCTAGAAACTTCAGGGCCGGATAGTCCTCGCCGAAGTCCTCGGGCAGTGAAGTCAAGTTATTCCCACTGCGGCGAGAGAACGATTGTCCATATTTTCAGTTTCTCGAAAACACTCTACGGTGTCAAAACGCGGAATATTGTGTTCCAGCAATTGTCTAAAAGAAATGTGCTGCTTGGCTTTTTTTTTTTTACGGAAGACAAAGTGCCGGGTCGCACGCCCCAGCAGAAGATAATTCCATCCTAGAGATTTATACGTATCGCATGCGCATTTTTCTTCCCTTTGATTGATGATTCTTTACATTAGTGCCCCATAATTCTTAGGACACCGCATTAAACTTCACATGGGCTCGCATGGAAACACCTGTTGAATACACCCGAACCAAACATTAGGGTTATATCTGTTCCAAGCTCTTCACGAAAACTATGAAGCCAGAGCAGGAGAAATTTCACTATCCTAAGTGAAATAAAAAAAAAGTTAGCATCTTCCCAGAGGGAACCTTGACGGGATGCGAAGCTGCAGCGTTGTGCACGGACACGGTCGGTGTTTTTGACTCGCACCTCGTCAGTGTCGTTGGTTTTCCGCTGCCGACGCTTGTGTTCGACTTCCCTGGCTCGCGCATCGTCGGGTGTTGCAGGCGCGACGTCCCATTCGCGAACGGGATCGGCTCTGCTAACCCTCTCAACGCCGGCGACGGCCGGATTAGGCCACATCGCTTCGGCGCATGTTTCGGCGGGCGAAGGAGCTTCGCTTTCCGGCGTCCTCTCCATCGCAGATAAACGAGCCGAAAGAGTATTCACTAAGTGCGTTTGAACGTTGCAAGCGTGAAGTGATAGAGAGGTGACACGCGGCAGGCGATGAAGACAGCAACGTCGCGGCGCACTGCAAGGGAAGGCGTGACCTACTTGGCACCGCCCCAACACCTGCGGCGAGGAGAGCGTGGTGCCGCGCGTTGGCACGGAGGCACGGACGTACAGCGTTACACGGGCTAGTCAAAGAGCTGCTTCACATCTATAAAAAGCGTTGGCTGATTCCTCTTTTTAGGAATCAGTATGACACGACAGTTAAACGTCACAGAGGTAGTTGAGCGTTTATTGTGTATTGTTTGGTCACGAGGGCGAATGAATGAATGCTACAGCAACAAATTGCAATGTGGCCCAAAGAACGGCAAGCAGCTCGAAACTTGAAGCGCGAACGAAATGAGTATACGCAGGACGAGCGTCGACAAAACTTTCACAGCTCGACTCTTTGAAACACGCTGCTCAAACAGAAATACAGACGCACGAAACAAACGCACAAGTATACGCAGGTTTAGCGCCAACAACTGTCACAATCTTTACTTTTTCGCGTGTGAGCAGCGCGCTCCTTTTTTGTAGCGCGGCCGCGGCAGCGAGCGAAGTGACCTTCGTGCTCTCTTCTAAAACGGGCTCTCGCTGATCCAGCCCCGAAACGCATCGTATGGGCTCCTGGCCATCAGGGCCTACGAGGTAGTGAGGCCGCTGACGCGGCCGCCCGAGCGCTTACCCACCGGGCTCCTCACCTTGGCTCTTATGACTCGGAGGCCAATACACCGCTGCTGCGGTTCAAAGAAATTCTCACCTATTATCGTGACACTCACCGCCTTTACCCGGCTCCTGCAAAGGGGCTGAGTAAGGGCCAAACTCCATAAGCGCGAAAATGCAGGCGACAGCGACGAGCGACGCTATGAGCGACGAAACAGGGCGTTCGCGCGACGTGTCGCGTGCTCGTTTTTCGCGCGATCGCTCGGTTCTCCAGATTTGGAAACCGTCGCTCATCGCCCGGAAGTGCTGGGCTCAAGCAGCCAATAGCGAAAAACCGGAAAAGACGAAGACTACATAGGTGCACGTGACCCTGCCCGAGTCACATATGCGCAACAAGAAATAACGCAATGTTTATTAAGCATGCGCATATAAAAAATGCTGCAAGGCAATAATAAACACTTTCCGTTCCATTACACAACAATATATCTTATTTTAAAATTGGAAACCGCTCGCTACGCGGTTTTCTTGGTGCGAGTTGACGGCCTCATGCCAGCAACAGTGGAATTCGCTCGCCGAAGCCGTCGCGTGAATGAGGTTTGCCTGCGCTAGCGACTGATCGCGCGACGCCGATCTACGTCGCGTCGCTCGTCGCTGTCGCGTGCATTTTCGCGCTTATGGAGTTTGGGCTTAAGGCGGAAGAGCGAACTCTAAGGCGCCTGCAGACAGGTACTCTACTCTGTCCTGCAATCCTAAAGCATTTCGATGCGAACACAGATGGGCGGTGCCCACACTGTGGGGAGACGTGTGATATCTTCCACATGGTATGGGCATGTCCGAAAAATCCCCACCTACCCCCTTCCCCTACCCCTTCCCGAGAGGCATGGGAGACTGCCCTCCTCGACAGCTCATCACTAGAGTCTCAACGGGCTCTGGTGAGACGGGCGCGAGTAGGGGCCTCGTCATGCGGTGTCCCGGACTAAGAACGCCGACCATGTAGCAGGGTCATGCTTTGGCCCCGTACCTCTCTCTTTTATAATAAATGTTTTTCATCATCATCATCGTGCTCTCCCGAATATCGAGTCTGAAAAGCGCGCACAATAGAAAAACCGTGCTTGTGGAGGCGCGTGCTATTGAAACGCGAAAGGCGATGACTTCTACAGCGCACCCAACGTGAGTCTTTCTTGCCATCTCGCTTCTGATGACGAAAACGCGCCATAGCTGCAGAGCTCTGGGGACTTTACACGGTGTATATAAATCACTCGCAGTTATGAAGCTGGACAACGTGCGCTTTGTGGTGCAGTGGTTCGCATTGCACGCTGCGAAGCACCTGTTTGACGGTTCGACGCCACGCTACAGCGCTTTTAGGGGCGAAGCTGCTTATAGCGGCACCCGCTCGTCCTTCGTAGTCGTAGTAGTAATGTGTAACCAGTCTTACATTTCGACCTCCAAGGTGATGCCGGCGGGAGATTTCTCCTGTGCGTTGTTGAACAATAAAAAGTTCGCGGCGTGCGCGTTAACTAAAAGCCGAATGATCCTGTCTCTGATTCCCCCTTAGCAGCCATTGGCATGTACATTGAGCACTAACAAGAAACGGTTGCTACGTTATACTCGCTGGGCGTAACCTCCTTGGTCTTAGAAAGGTTTAGTGAGCATTAGGTCGCAGTGCCATGAATACAGTGAACTAGTATATACCATGAACTCAAGCTGGTTAAAGGTGGGAAGTAGAAGCGAAGCGCAAGCCGTAAGAAAGTGTACGTGTGCCTCCTCTCGTTCAGTCCTTGGATGTCCGCTGGATGGCGGTGCTTCTATATGAGGAATATATGATGAAAAGATGCGAGATGGTGGTACTTGGAGTGTTGAATAGATGGACGCATAGACGGACGCATGGACGAACGCAGGGACGGACGTGCGGACGCACAAACAGACGCATGCACGGACGGGCGGGTGTACGCATGGACGGTCACACAGACGGACGCATGGACGGACGGAAGCAAGAATGAATGGACGGACGGCCGAACCGCCCCACTTTCCATCATTCACTCCGTGGATATGCTGCCATTTTTTTCTTCTTTTTTTTTTCAAGACGATGGTCTTTCTTGGGATACTTCGACGCAGGAATTTCGGTCGGTCTGTGTGTCTCTGTGTTACTGTCTGTCAATCGATGCAGCCACCAGAGCGATAGTTTAACCCTTTGCTGAGCGGCCACCCATCTTGATCTCCTGGTTGCCTTCATACTAGTGAGCGATGTCAATCAAAAATGGCAGCATATCCACGGAGTGAATGATGGAGAGTGGGCAAAGCATTCGTCCGTCCATCCGTCCGTCTGTGTGACCGTCCATGCGTCCATCCGCCCGTCTGCGCGTGCGTCTGTTCGTGCGTCCGTCCTTGTGTTCGTCCATGCATCTGTGTGTCCGTTCGTCCATCTATTCAACACTCCAAGTACCACCACCTCGCATCTTTTCATCATATATTCCCCATATAGAAACACCGCCATCCAGCGGACATTCCAAGGACTAAACGAGAGGTGGCACACGCACACTTTCTTACGGCTTGCGCTTCGGGTCTACTTCCCACCTTTAACCACCTCGAATTCATGGTATATACTAGTTCACTGTATTCATGGCACTGCGGCCCAACGCTCGCTAAACCTTTCTAAAACCAAGGAGTTACGCCCAGCGAGTATAACGTAGCAACCTTTTCCTGTCAGATAGTGCTGAATGTACATGCCAATGGCTGCTTATGGGAAATGAGAGACGGGAGAATTCGGCTTTTACTTTCTTACGGCTTGCGCTTCGGGTCTACTTCCCACCTTTAACCTCCTCGAGTTCATGGTATATACTAGTTCATTGTATTCATGGCACTGCGGCTAAACACTCGCTTAACTTTTTTAAAACTAAGGAACCTGTTACAACCAGCGAGTATAACATAGCAACCCTTTCTTGTCAGATAGTGCTCAATGTACATGTCAATGGCTGCTAATGGGGGTCGCAGTGTGCGCGTTAACTAAAAGCCCAATGCTCCTGTCTCTCATTCTCCCTTAGCAGCCATTGGCATGTAGATTGAGCACTATCTTTTACTGTTCAACAACGCACAGAAGAAATCTCTCACCGGCACCACCTTGGAGGTCAAAATGTTATACTTCTTACATACTACAACAGCTACGAGGTATGAACGGGTGCCGCTATAAGGAGCTTCGCCCCTAAAAAGCAAATATTACGCACATTTGGGCGCAACATCAAAACGTGAGTATTATGCAGTGCGTTGCTATGTATTTAAAATGCATAGATACCGCAGTGCTTAATACGTTGCGCTGACAACGCGACGCTATAAACGAAAAAGCGAGTGTTTCCTATACGTTTCACTAAAACTACACGGTGCTGCCACATAACAGTGACTTTACATTCTAGAAAAAACCTGTTTTTTCAAATTACAGCTATCTGGAGTCCATAGCTTTAACTAAGCGGCTACTCACCGATCTTCTCGCAAAGAACGTCAAATAAACGCATTATGCTCTCTTCAGACAGAAGACTCGTCTTTCGACGACCTTTGCCCGCGAAGCACGCAGATACGCCGCCATTTTTTTGTTGTTGTTGCAATCTGTTGTATATATTTTAAAATGTTATATCCGTGACGTGAATACGTCAAAGGAGCAGTGGTCTGCCCAAGTATAAATAACTTTCGTGATAAAAAAAAAAGAGCTTCCTTCTTATCGCCTATGCCAATCCGACTTCCCTCTCCAAGCCTCGGGTTCATGTGGCCGTTCGCCCATCCGCCGCCGTATACGAAGTGTGTTTCTTCGTATTTAATGCGAGAACATTGTCGGTTAGCGCACCCCACTTTTGTCACACAAAAATTATATTGAACGAAGGCCATGATTTTACAGTCTTGCTGCCGCTTCATTGATGATTGATATGTTGAGTTTAACGTCCCAAACCACCATATGATCACGAGAGACGCCTTAGTGGAGGGCTCCGGAAATTTCGACCACCTGGGTTCTTTAACGTGCACCCAAATCTGAGCACACGGGCCTACAACATTTCCGCCTCCATCGGAAATGCAGCCGCCGCAGCCGGGATTCGATCCCGCGACTTGCGGGTTAGCAGCCGAGTACCTTAGCCTCTAGACCACCGCGGCAGGGCTTGCTGCCGCTTCGTATCAGAAGTGCGGATATAGGAAGTAGTGGACGAGGAGCCCGGAAGTATAAAGTCGAAGTAAACGTGATACCGAATTAAAACTCGAATTTTCACTCGGTGACAAACCGGTTTTTTTTTTATTGTTATTGCTATCCCGTTAAAACGGGGACACGTTGACAACGGATGGTGTGCAGACTAACGACCAGTTTGTCTTGCGACGGGTCATTAACACTTAGATTGGAGGAGTGAAGGAGAAAGAAATAAAATAAGCAAAAAATAGTTGATGCATTCGCCCGTGAGCCAGTTAAACTTACAATCAATTATACGTATAGTGTTATAGACGTGAGATTTCTGCGTGAGTTAGCTGTTACGTGTTCATTTTTTTGCCGCAGTGATAAACTGATCTCCCTCCCGTATGATTGTGATATGTCACGTCGCAAGAGGAATGAATTGAGAGCTCGCGCACCGTCCATTGTCCCTGTTTTGTTTCGTAGTGCTAGAAGAAAAAAAAATGAAAAGGAAGGGCACGTCCTCAGCTGCAGAGAGAGGCGTTGCCGCTATACGACGTTGGCGCGCACGCACCACTTAGTGTGCAGGGTGTACAGTGCGTCTGGCTGCAACGGAAAGCATCATTGGCTGTGCAAATGAGCACCTTTTGACCAATCAATTTTTCCTCTGCCTGAATTTCTTTATTTTTTTTACGGGTAGCAGAAGTTTTAGCAATAGCCAGTGGAATTCGGCAAAACGATTTTTCTTTACCCCGATAATAGTTGGAGGCGGAAATTATCTTCCCGAGAAACGAAAACGACTACATAACCAATAATCAAAGTTCCACTGGTTAACATTCTAGCTTGCGACTGTGGTGATACTGAATGGATTCACAGTTTGTGAAGATATTCGGCGATTTCTCCGCTTCAGTGAGCAAGACAGCAATTCAAACAAACATCATTGTGCAGTACGTCTAATTTACCAAAAAGTAGCCAAACGTAATTTGACAAACTATAGACGCCTCAGACATTCTACAAACTTGTTACCATATTTTACATACCGCCTGCCTGGTTTTTATTGCAGTTCAATGGTTTTATTTTTTCGCTAGATGTTCTTCTTTTCCTAGACATCCGTGAACACAACTTTTCCACCATATCCACACCTAGATGCCTTGCAGTAAATGGTATATCATAGAGCGCATGAACCTCGACTGTCATTAGCTCATAAACTAGATCTCTACAGGGTCCCGACTGATCTTGTCAGCGCACTTAGGTTCAAAAAAAAAATTCTGCAGATCCCACAAATCATGAGAATCGATCAGTGACATTACCTGGCTTTAAAGATTACTACCCATATTACAGTTTGTCTAACTGTTTTCCAAGACCTGCGCCATGATAACGCCCTTGCTTTGGGCTCACGAGTAAAAAAGAACAACTTACGATGTTAAAACTATTAGCTTACACTAGGTCCAAGTTCCAGAGGTTTGGCGCTGGCCTGGGCAACATGGATCGCCGGAAGTGCTTGAGGTTGCAGTCACGAATCACTAGCGACTCTAGGCCGGTTACACGCGCGAGCCAGTCTTCGTCGATGTGTGCTATGCTAGACTGAACGACTTCCACGACGGTCAAGCTGGCCGCAAGCGCATTGTAATCTGTCGTCAAATTCAGGGCGGCCATGTTGAAGAGCCTGAGTACCTTGAGCATCTTCAAGTTGTTGAGCAACGACCACGACGCGGGAAGGCTGCTGTGGTCGCGGAAGACGATTTTTTCGAGCGTCTCGTCGACGCCTGCCACAAGTATCAGAGCATCGTCGGATCCGAAAGACCTGACCGTGACGTTGCTCAGTTCCAGTACGTGGACGGCAATGTCGTTGAAGGCAGGCAGCTCTGGCAGCTCGCAGTCAGTCAGCACGAAGGTGATCGGGCTGGGGAGAGGACGCTCGACTTGGTCGGCGAATTGCTGCGTCGAGGTGAAGCCGATGCAGGTGTAGCTGGCGTGCATGCCACGACTGGTGTTTTCGCAGCGCGGCGAAGCCCTCGCGTTCGGTAGGAGGAAGGACGCGGCGGCTAAGAGGACGCCGCCAACCAGTTCCCGCCTTCTCATGCCAAAAAACCTCGTCGCGTGACAGTCAAAACAAGAACACTCGCGAGCCCTCGTAAGCCAAACGCAGCGTGACGGTGTTATAGAGAGGCACCGACCACAAAACCGTTTTCCCGTTTCTTGGCAGACTGCACACTGCTGCAAAGCATGAAGCGGAAGTGTCTTGCCACCACGAGATGCGTCGCCGCTGTTACCGAAATGCGACACCCAACGCGTCAAGAAAAACGCGCCCAGACAACAAACGTTGATAAAAGGGAGGTCTTGGAATCATCAGAGAAGCGGCTGCACAATCTAGGCATTAGGGAAAGAAGCGTCACGTGGTCGGGGTGTCAGCTTTACGCGGCGTTCTTTGGAACGTCGCGGGTAAAAAGAGAAAACATTGAGCGAGATAACGGTGCCTTTTGCTAATAGTAGGAGAGTGGTTGCTCGCGTACGCTCCGTCGGGAATAGCTGTAAACTCATATATTTGGTACTTGAAAGAAACTTGACAAGGGAATTATTGTCACACAAAGAAGGAGAATTCTGGACTTGAAACAGTTAGATCAGCTGAAATTTCTGCCCATGATAAAGGCGACCATCTGGATGGCCAAGACATTCATAATAAATGTATATACCGTTTCATGGTAGTTTCAGTCTGTAATAATAGGATGTTAGAGCTTTACGTCCCGAAACCTTGGCACGATTATAAAATACCCGGTAGGGGCGCTCCGTAAATTTTGACCCCCGCTGTTCTTTAACGGGCGCCTAAATTTCAGTTTTAATTGTAAGCTTCGATGGTGCGAACAGTGCCGTCTTGGTGGACAAAACGCGTACTTTTCAGTCGCTCCCGCAGACGAGAGCAGCGACTGGTAAAAGCGGTATGGGCGCACATCGCTGAAGCACGCTGGTGCTGTTGCGTATTCAAGTACCACAATATGTAGAAATGAGAGAGGACGTGTCCGCCTACGTTTTTTTTTTCCTTCTCAATCTTATGAATAAGAATGGAGGTGGCTTTGCATCCAAGTGGCCAGGCAGGCAGAGTATATATGTTCTGTTCTTTTTCTCCCGTTGAGTATTCGAAATGCTACAATACAGCCACAAGTGAAGTAAAGTAGTGAATGATGGGATGTCAAATTCAACGTGCTAACACAGGATGACAATGTAAAACGATTATATGGCACCCATCGTTACTTCCGTCCCTTGCTCCTTGAGAGCGATGTTTGTTGTGGTTGCATGGATATCACTGATCACACGCAAAACAAAATTAAAAAAAAAAGTGAACGAGGTTGCAAGCGCACAGCATTGATGTTCATCAATAGCAGGGATTAGTGTGTGCGTGTGTATTGTTGCGATCGGCGATCCACCCTTTGTCGCAGGTGCTGTGACGGAAGAAAGGCAGCCGCCTCACTTTGTGGCAGCGCGAACACGTCGTCTCCTGGGTTTCACATCTCGTCTGGCTATAGGACGTTGTTTCCTCCGAGTACCTAGAGGCACTTTCCATGGTGGCATTGTTAGCAGGTCCTCAGCCATTGCCACCGCGTGGACCCGGTTATCCATATACCATGACGTTTTCCCTGTGGTGTGTTCACAGAACACCTATATACTATACTACGTGTGTTTTCTAATTGACGGCACATTCGAAATTGTGCTTGCCTTATGATGTTTCGTGTTGGAGGTATAGATTTTAGATTGAGCACGTCCTCGTTACTATTGTGCTTTTGCAGTCCAGTGGCCGTTCGAAGAGTTGTTCCGTGCATCTTTTCAATGTCTCTGAGATCTCGATCGGAGAAATCATACACAGGTGCCCTGCACGGAATCCGCCTGACTGCCACGCTTTTGCAAGCGTTTCGCATGCATTCTGCCGCTGACACGCTCTATTTATTTGATATGTGTCGGATCATGTGGAACATTGATTCAGTTGCGTTAAAGTGCAGATCCAACGTTGGGGCTATTGCAGCCAACAATTTGTGCCCCCAAGAATTTTAATTGTCAATTTGAAGACGTGATTTTTTTTCACCGACTGTGTAGCGTAATCTGTTTGCTTGGATTTGTTCGCTCGTTTCCATTTACGTTCGAGCACTTGCGTTTTCTCTGGTAAGCAAGCTGCAGTCCAAAATTATCTTAACGTATTGGAGAGGCTGAGAATCACTTCCAGAGCACATCTATGCGCACTTTGACCATGCAATGTGACAGGCGCGCACGCTTCTCCTTTTTTTTCTTTCTTTGCAATCTGGTGCTATGTCAGATTTCACAACGTCATACCCGTGAAAGCTACTTAAAGAAGTATCCGACAACTTTAAGATATTTTCAAACCAATACCTCAGCCGGGACATACGATACAGTTTACGCCATACAACAATACTTACAAAGACACCCAGGACACACTATGGCATAAAACCATCGATTATAAATCTACGTGTTTATGTAATGTGTCTTTCTGTTGTGGGAATAATCGAAAATGGTAAACCAATTTGAGAATTTAAACGATTGATAAAGAACATGATTTTTCCTCTGGATGCGGAAGTGTTGTATAAATTTCTTGTAAATGTGAGTAAATAATAATCATGATGTTCTGCGACTCCAACATAATTTTATACTAGTATAACTAGTTACTTCATTTGAGATGTTTTGTAGTTTTTCTTGCATTTGTGCCCATGTTCCTGTTGTGACTGCGTCATTACATTATGCTCATTACTCTATGTTACTACAGTAATTGGTGATTGTCTGCTTAGTGTATTAATAATGATTATGTTGTTTATTCATTATGTTACAAAGTTGATTCATTTGAAATCCGTTGCTTCTGATATCCCACAAAAAGTCACAGCATACCCACGAAGTGAATGATGATGAGCGGGCGAAGCTCCGGGGGATCCTTAGCCCCCGTACTATTCTCGTCAAATGTAACTCAAAACAGCGGCAAGCCTTCGCGATAGCATATAGTGCATACCGTCCAGTTATCACCATTGAGAGGCACGCGCATCCCGTTCGACAGCTCTGCGCATATATGCGTGCCTGTCCAATGTGATAAGTTGACGGTGAAGGCTTGCGGATGTTCGGATTTAGTTTGACGAGGGTAATACATTTCCCACTCGATCATGAAAAGACGTGAAAACACGTGTGTACAGTACATAACAAGTTGTTTATTAAATAATGCGCATATTGTGCCGATATGCACATATAGACATTCATACGGATATCCATATGAATATCCATATCCACATGGATATGGGTATCCATATAAATATTCATATGACTATCCATATGGATGTCATATGGATGTGGATATCTATAGCGTGTCACGCCGACGGACAGAGAACATGGCTCGACCCTAAAGAGCTTCGCCCCTAAAAAAATGATTACGTACATCTCCGTGTTTCGCTGCAAAGGACATTGAAAAGCTCTCCTGTTTGGAGCGCTGCCTGAAATATGGCGCTATCTGGCAGTAATGTGAAGAAACGAAATATCTTAAAACACAGAGCCACTGGTAGGTGGCAGCACCAGGTCGTTTTAGTTAAAGCTGCTGAAATTTTTAGCTAAGCGTAGGAAACACCCGTGTTTTTTTTTTTTTGTTCATTGCCAGCGCAGCGTAATAAACACTTTGGTCTTTAGAATTCAGTATTTATGCATTTTCCAAATAAAAAGACACCGCCTAACACTTACGTATTGACATTTCGTAATATTTGATTTTTGATTGACAATGTTCACAACTGTGGACGCAGCCACCAGATCAAGATGAATGGGAGCAAGGGGTTAAACTTTTGCCGTGTGGCTGAACCGTATGACAGGATACCAACAGGCAGACAGACAGACCAAAAGTTTTGCGTTGAAGTATCAAGAGAAAAATTTCCGTTTTTGAAATTCAAGTGTGAAGGAGTAGATCACCAACCCTGCCCCCTCCTGGTATATATGTATATGCTACCTACAGTAACTCTACCTCCTGGCGACGACCACTGACCTCTATTGGGGACTAGTGGCTACACCTATTCGTGCCCTTGGCAACGCTGCCAACGCATCTGGACATTTCGTACAAAGCCTATGTCTTACCCCGCCGGTGGTTCTCTAAATGTCATTCAACTTCCCGGATGAATGAACATTGGTCTGGGACGTGAAGATTTTAGTGAGACGTACGCTTTTCATTTTTTATACATTACGGGAAAAATGCTTTTGTAACCACCGTGGTTTGACAATTCGTGTATGAAAAGCGAGAGTTCTGCGTTTTCGTGAGAGCCGCTGTCATCGGCAGTCATACAGGTAATAGGACAAAATGGCACAGCCCAGTTCTCTCTCATTGAGCTACGCTTTTTTTTTTGTCAGCAATTGTGAACTACGCACCATATAAGTCGTCATATTAGAATTACCTTAACGTACACAACACCTGCATTGTTACAAACAGTAGGAGGTATTTCAGATTGATTGATTGATATGTGGGGTTTAACGTCCCAAAACCACCACATGATTATGAGAGACGCCGTAGTGGAGGGCTCCGGAAATTTCGATCACCTGGGGTTCTTTAACGTGCACCCAAATCTGAGAACACGGGCCTACAACATTTCTGCCTCCATCGGAAATGCAGCCGCCGCAGCCGGGATTCGAACCCGCGACCTGCGGGTCATCAGCCAGGTGCCTTAGCCACTAGACCACCGCGGCGGGGCAGGAGGTATTTCAGTTCTTTATTGCACCACTGAGGTGAGCTGATGCTTGAAACTCCACTGCAAATTGATATCAATACAGTAACGTAACAAAAAGGCGTCACACACTGCAAATTACATAACGAGCGGGTCGTTGAATGCTTGAGCCCCATTACAAAAGCCTCAGGTATAATTGTTCGTCGTCGTCAGTCACAAGATGAACAACGTAATTCCCCACAAGTGTGTAGCGAGTGCCACGCTTTTCCTAGGAATGACAAACAATGGCATAGCGGACGCTTCCCCACTACACCAATATTTTGAGGGTTTATGCTGTAGTGCATGGGTACCACGCAAGTGCGCTTGTATTAGTTGCCCCAATAGTGTTTAAAAAAAGGCCCCAGAAAGGCCGCTCTTCCAGCTTTCGCTGTGACTGTGCTGCGAGTTGCTTCTTTTAATTACCAAAATTTGAAAGCAACGTACCTGGGCATAATACTACTATGAAAAAGTTGTATATCCCTTTGCAAACCACACGATTAGACAGCGCATAACTTTCTATCTGTTAGGTATCAGTGTTTTCTTTTTCGTTTGCTTACTGCAAATGTCCACGCACGACCTTCGCATGCACGTGACCCTGCCTGCGAAGGCCGTACTCTATTGATCCGCTCACTGAAAAAGCGGAGCTGCCCTGGCAACCACTGTTTCGTTCCACGAGATCTTGCTCCCCGGGGTCAGGATAGAAATGAGGTACTGCTGCGACGTCGACATTCCAATAGTGCACAAAGCGTTTGCCAAGCTGAATTGGACCAGGGTGGAACCACATCAAAACTGGAACATCTATTGGTGAGCGTCTGTTCGGCATCCATACCAAGCTTTTCTGGCAGGCCCATAGGCATCGTGTCGATTCGTAATTCCGCAGTGAACGGTAAACACAGAACGGGAAGAAAGTCGATATATAGCTGGTAAGAATTCACTTTAAACGCAAGGCTTGTAAACACGGACAAAAAAAACGTGATCACGGCAACACTAACGTCAGTTAACACATGCTCCCTCTGGCACGCGCTTCAAGGACATGCTTGGGTAAGCTGCCGATAAACTTGTGTAATGAAGAAATCAAATCTCTGACAGAGTTATCTCTCACGTGGAATTCCGCGTGGGCTGGATTTACAAGTGGCACTCCTTACCGGATCATCAGCCGATAAGTCCTTGCGTATACTTTCTTTCCCGCCACGAGCTCCTTTTCAGTTAGTAGTTGGCGCTTGTGTTGTCCGTGTTTTCATGCGCATACCTTCTTTTATAGCGGTAAACTGGCCTTACGTTAGCAGAATTGTGTGTGGGCGTGTTGCAACAGCCTACCAGCTAAATACAGCTTTTCGAAGTACGTCCCAATGTCCCTGTATATCCAACATCCAACTGCCTTGTTTTCGTTGATCCCCAGCACTCTGTCATCAGCCATGTTCTACAAAGGGGTCGTTGTTTTTTGCAGGACGTCCGTGGCCAACGCTCGATGTCTCTTAGGCCCTGATTCCAATATAAGGCTCTCCGACAACCAGTGGGTGATCACTCTTTCAGAGCCTCTGTTGAAAATCGACTCTTGTGCACGTGTTTCTGAAAATTTATATTCTAGTGTTATTCTATTTCTACTCCGGAGCTAGCTTTCCCCTGTACAGCAGCGTGACAGATACTGAATGATTAAGCATCATGACGTTGTTTCATAAGGACAGCCTTAGAAAAGAATGATGTAAAATGCAACATGCTTTAGTAAGCAGGCGATATGCACGAAAGTTTATGATAAGGAGTGACGTCACATCAAATGTCACGAAAGGAGCAGATGTTTCTCTCCCTCTTACATTCGGCCCGTGTGCAGTCAGAAACTAAAGCGCAAACCTGAAGTCTCAAACTATTTTGCTTGCCTACACTTGGCGCGTTTTCCTCGTTTTCCTACAGAAAGGCTGGGAGGGAAGCGCTGTCCAACTCAAATTTCTCAGAATTGAAATACCCAGACATACCTTTCCCCCATTTAAGGTGTAACGATGCACTGCATTGATGCTCAGAGACTAATGACACAAGAACGCAAAGCAGATGAGGACCTGGCGCACTAAGAACTTTTATTCAATCGATTGTTCTCGTGGAATGTATATACACAAAAAGGAAAGGTAACCTGTGCAATGACACAATAAAGTGTTAAGTATCAACACGAGAGTGTCACGTAAGAGCCCCGCAGTGATCACGTGACTTAAAGACGAGGATGTTCATCCAAGCGCGCCCCGTCCCGCCTACGGACACCCCTATCGCTTAGGCATATATGGCACACATGTAAAAATGCGCTGTCGATGCAGAGCCGCTATTCTCAGCCAGTAACATGTGACCAAAACTATCATAATCGAACATTACGTTCTACGTGTCGTACAGACGCACAGTCGCCCACGACTGCTCTCATCACTTGTCAGTTCCATCAGTGAGAGAACGGCGTTTATAGTTTCTACAGTTGCATGATGGGGTGCATTCAGAATAAAAAATTAATTCAATGTTCAAGATAGCCTCATTTAATGAAACAAGGTATTTCGCTGGGAGGTGACGGTCAGGCGGTGTCTGGCGGTCACCTCCTTAGCCAAGTTAGCAGCATCGAGCTTGTGTCCAGGCTGGCGAGGCACTCGCCTTCCAGCAAGCAAAGAGGGCGTTGCGTCTCGCCGTGCAGGCGTGTGAACCACTTCTCGACGCACTACGAGTTGACCCGCAAAGACCTCTTGGCAAAGCACATGCAGCGTTACCAACGCAAGCGCGGGAAAAGCCAACAGCCGCCAGTGATGTTGCCGTCGACGTACGTCCTACCCCGAGACTACAGCATGTTCGTGGATGAGTACAAGCGAGTCGGGGGCCTCTGGATCGTCAAGCCCTGCGGAAAAGGCAAGTACTGATACAAGTACACAAGCACGACCAAAGGAAAACGATGAGGCCAAAGACGAGGGGTTGCAGTAAAAGTGCTGCTTCAAATGACGTTTCCTGTTCAAATATTTCTCAGTTTAATATTATAATTAAACCAAAAAATTATACCACCTACGGGAAAGTAATCCGGTCAGCTTTGTTAAGGGTGACCGTCGCGATAGTGTGTCAAATTTGTAGCGGGAATTTCTGATGATCATTGGTTGATATGTGGGGTTTAACGTCCCAAAACCACCATATGATTATGAGAGACGCCGTAGTGGAGGGCTCCAGAAATTTTGACCACCGGGGGTTTCTTTAACGTGCAGCCAAATCTAAGCACACGGGCCTACGACATTTCCGCCTCCATGGGAAATGTAGCCGCTGCAGCCGGGATTCGATCCCGCGACCTGCGGGTCAACAGCCGAGTACCATAGCCACTAGACCTCCGCGGCGGGACATTGGAAATTTTTCGAGCCATCTAGCGGGAACCACGCTCAACGTGACCACGCTCCTCTGATGTGAAGACGCACGTATACGGGCTTTGTGACGACATATACGCTGGGGGATGCATCATGTTAACTGAATGCAGGGTCTAAAACGTCCTGAAAATCCGCAAGATTAATCATACCTAACCTGCAAACTATATATATAGAGAGAGAAACTGACAACCACCCGTGTTCATAGCCCGCCGCCACAACGTAAATCGTGCGGATTTCTCGGAAAGAAAGCTTAGTTGCCTAAGTGTTGGTACTGGCTGTGGGAATCGATCCTGGGACCAACGCCTTTTCCGGGCCGTTCGCACTACGAAATGAGCTAACCAGGAAGCTAGCAAACGGCAACGCGAGGGCGAATTGATCGACAACTCGAAGCACGTGAGATCATTTTATTGAGACCCTAGGCAATAAAATTGGTCGCCCGAGTTGACCCTTTAAAGGGCCTACTCCCAGTCAGAACATGTCGCAAGACACTTTCGGAAGTGTAACGACTGTTAAAAAGCCCTTAACCACACCGAGTTTCTTTATCAGCTTTACTACGCTTACTACAGTATCTCCTACTCGCCATCTATTTCAACATAAAACGCGTGGAATGTCATCACTAATCTTTGAGCACTAAGCTTTTTTTACTACACGCTGTGATTTCCGTTTGCGCAGTCACAAACGCAGAAAACTGACCCCCGTATTCTAGAACTTCCCTTCACTCAACGCTTCACCTTCACTTGACAAAGCCGATGGAAGCGTCATCTCTAGGCACAGCAAGTCACTGCATATTAGCTATAATCTGCTGCAATCCTTGAGTAGCGCAGTGTCCTTTTCAGCCGAGTGGTGGCGCAGTGCTCAACTCTGTCAAGTGAAGGGTGAAAGTCAAGTGGAGAAGAGTTTGTGAATACGGGGGTTTGGCACACCACTTCATCGCGCACGATAGTCACGCGAGACAATGGGCATGTGACTGCGTAACAATGTCCGGTAGGTGACAATTCGCCAACAGATATCTCACGTATATCAACCAATCTGAAGTTTATTTCGTCCTGACGTCACGGGTACAAGCTGTTGACGTCACGAATTGTGCTGCAAAGACGAGCGACGCCGGGACCACTGTGGCGGGAGAAAATAAAGCCCTATATAGTTGTACCTTCAAAGGTTGTTTAGGGGCCCTTCAAAGTGGCGAGTGAGGCATGTTGAAATTTTTTTCCCCAAAATTATATATATGGCTCCACGTTAGTAGTGACGCTTTCGGCCCAGTCATCAATAAAAAAATCAGGTAGGACATGAATTAGTTGACAGCCCATTTCATGAAACGAAAGAATAATTAGAGCTTCCCTTGCTTTTCCCGGTTATCGCTATGAACTTCTCGCACCCGTGACCAGCACACTTCATGCGGTAACCAAACAACATTAATTTTTGCCGCCCGAATAGCTGATGACTTGTCCGGTATACTGCAAATCATTCTTCTTTTCAATCAGCACAGGGCATTGGGATCAAGCTGGTGGACAGGCCATCGCAAGTGAAATCACTCATCAACAAGTACGTAAGCGTGCTTCTGATCACAATGGGCCAGATGTCCTTGTGGTACGTGTGACCCAGTTTAGATTATGTATGACCGAAGACCACGAATATTCGAATGACTCCTCGTAGACAGCTTCTCAGAAAACGAAACAGAGACTTTAGTACAGAATTAAGTTACTCTATACTTTCAAAGTACGGAAGGGTAATGTGTACAACAGATTAAAGCCAGTTCCACCCAGAGTGAAAGCTGTTCGAAAAGTGAAGCATTCTTCCTCCTGTGTCTCCGTATAGTGTTCATCGGCTCTTTTCTGTTCTTTTGGATTTTTTTCTGCTGTATAAATGTTGTTTTCTTTTCGTGCGATCATGTGATATCTTACATTCTTATGATTTTTTTCTGATTGTGTGATTTAGTTTGCGATAATTTTATTTCTGCGGTCTCCTTTCTACTTTTTGATGCTCCGAGCACTGTAACTACCACTTCTGGCGTTTCGATTGGTTGATTGATTAATTAATTGATTGATTGATTGATTGATTGATTGATTGATTGATTGATTGATTGATTGATTGATTGATTGATTGATATGTGCGCTTTAACGTCCCAAACCATCATATGATTATGAGAGACGCCATAGCGGAGGACTTCAGAACTGTTGGCGTTTCGCCTCGACTTCTCTCTTCATCTGTATCTATGCTGGCGTTCCGCAATGCTGGCGTTGTCAGGCGTGCAAGCGCTGACGTTCAAAACGTGCAGCGTTGCAATGCTTATGTATACATCGAACGTACGTGGGACCCGCATGTCGCCAACGCGAGACACGAGATGACGACATGGTGGACTCTCGAACTTCTCCGCAGTTGAGCCCCGCCGCGGTGGTCTAGTGGCTAAGGTACTGGGCTGCTGACCCACAGGTCGCGGGATCGAATACCGGCTGCGGCGGCTGCATTTCCGATGGAGGTGGAAATGCTGTAGGTCCGTGTGCTCAGATTTGGGCGCACTGTTTAAAGAACCCCAGGTGATCGAAATTTCTGGAGCCCTCCACTACGGCGTCTCTCATAATCATCATCAGCCTGACTACGTCCACTGCAGGACAAAGGCCTCTCCCATGTCTCTCATAATCATATAGTGGTTTTGGGACGTTACCCACATATCAATCAATCAATCAATCTCCGCAGTTGAAACTCATTGGACGTGGCTGAAGCAGCGCTTTAAGGGCGTCGTTCGTTAATCAAGGAAATAGAAGAACGTTACAGACAGACAGAGACAGACGTAATCTGCCGTCAGCATCGGCTTAAGTGACTCTAACGAGCGCGCGCATGTGTGTGTGCGTGTGCGTGCGCGCGCGCTTATGCATTCATAGAATTCACTGTTCGCGAATTGCTTCCTCCTCTCCGACAAGCAGCTGGGAGAGCAACCGGGAGCCGCACGTGGTCTGCCGCTACGTGGATCCCCCGCTGCTGGTTGGAGGGCGCAAGTTTGATCTGCGCCTCTACGTGCTCGTCACTTTCTTCCAGCCATTGCGCGCATACCTGTGAGCAGACAAGCTGGTTTCTCGACTGTGTTATATATATATATATATATATATATATATATATATATATATATATATATATATATATATATATATATATATATATATATATATATATATATATATATATATATAAGAGCCTGTCCGAAAAGAGCTTGACCCGGCAGCGGTTGCGTAACAAGACTACCATGGTGGTTGCATTAGAATTTTATAATAACGGTGCTATGCATTCAATATAAGTTGCACGAATACACAAAAACAAAACTACGGTAGATATGAACACTAAGAGCAAACATACTCAATACACAAGAAGAAATAAAGAAACATGTCGTGTAAGGGTTGCTAGGTGTTAACACAACTGGCTCTGATAAGTGACAACGAATAGAAAATTTCTGAAAAGTTTGCATTAATTAAGTCGCGCAAATCTCGGAAAAATGAAGTCCTAGTGGCCCGTCTATGCTAGCTGGGCAACGTGTTCTTGTGTTTCTCTTTATTCCTCCATGGAACTGGGTGACCTTATCTGCTCTTGTTTAGTTATATCTATATTTCTCTACTCTTTTAAATGCGAAGCATTTCTTAGTGAACTTCGGTGACTTTAGCGTATATATCTATATATCTAGCCGCTTAACTTTGGGTGCTCTTATGGTCACCCCCTTAACTTGGCATGGACCGAAATTAGCATGAGAGGTTAAGATGGTACGACGAATACGACGTGCTGGTCAAGACTTGAATAATGTCACAATTTTGTCACATACGTCGTAAAACACTATCCGCCAAACAATGGCACATACCTGTGAGTGGGTATGTGCCACTGGTATGCGGATATGCGCCTCAGGTGGTTTACAGTTTATAAGTACCAACAAATGGCGACAACAGACGCTGTTAATTTAAATGCGAGAGCGTTAAAAAAAACTGAGCATCAGAGTCCAAGCAGGCATCGAACCTCAGCAGTCTCCGTGACAATCAAGTATTCTACCACAGAGCCACGCCAGGTCTCTGTGGTATTGCTTCGGAAAAATACGCATTCGGTGCGATGTTAGTGAAACATCTATTTTAGTAGCGATGCTGGCCACAATAATATAAGCACTACATGTTTACTCCAACGATACTACCGTCTCTTCGGGTTAACGTCAATTGTAGTTAAGTGCCATCCACTGAAGTTAACTTATCTAGCAGAATACAGGGCTCCCATCCTCGCGAGCACAAACGTTGCATATCAGTGTACCGCGTCTCGTGTTGCGAATACTTATGTTGCTGTTGGCATTGTTGCGCAACTGTATAAACAACGTATCACATAAAACATGTCTACTGTCACAGGCATTGAAACATAAACAGGCCTCATTACTTTTCCTGCAAGAGAAGCACAACGAACGCCTTCACATTTACACGGATGGCTTGGTGTCTTCAGTAAGCTCTGCAGGGGCGGTGGTTATTCCCGCGAGGCACATCACAATTAAATTAATGACATCGCATTTGACGTCGTCGACAGCTGCAGAACTTGCGGCCATACGTGCAGCTCTGGAGTTTATAGTGAAAGAACCTTCGGGAATTTGGTCTATCTTCTCGGACTCGAAGGCATCTCTTCAATGTCTTATGTCACCCTTTCGCCATAGACCTAATGAACAGTTAGTAGCTGAAATAAGGCTTCTTCATCACCAAGCAATCGAAAAACAGCACAGCATAGTGTATCAGTGGATACCAGGTCATTGCGGTATATATGGCAATGACCGCGCAGATGAGGCCGCTAGATCTGCACACGATGGTACCAATACACAGCCATCCCGTTCTCAAGAACCGACGCAGCTACAAGACTTCGTTCGCTTGCACGTGACCTCACAGTGGTACAGTGAAACTCAACAGACTTCACAAACGCGCACCTGCATAACTTGGACCCCAATCTGCAGCTTCGTCTTCCCCCAAGGATATCTCGAGCTGAGGAGACTCTTCTATGCCGCCTGTGGCTTGGAGTGGCCTTCACGAACGCATACTTTTATCTCATTGGGATGGCCAGCTCTTTTACATGCACTTACTGCAGTTGCGAAGAAACCATCGCGCACCTTCTGTGTGAGTGCACCCATTTCAACGCGCAAAGACAAGAGCTCACTGCAGCTCTGGATAGACTAGACGATCGACCTTTGTCGGAACAAAGGATTCTGGGTCATTGGCCGAGCCCATCCTCAGCCCAGAAGGCTTTGAAAGCTTTGCTGCGCTTTTTGCGGACAACTAGCCTCAGAGACAGACTTTAGTGTCTTATACTCTTTGATGTTGCCTTTCCTCTGTCGCAATTTTTTAATTTTTTTTGTAATTTCTCTTTCTCTTCGCAACATTTCTTTTTAACATCTTTCATTCCCCTCACCCCTTTCCCAGAACAGGGTAGCCAGCCGGTCTAAGAACTGGCTAACCTCCCTGTCTTTCTGCTTAAACTTTCTTCTCCTCCTCCTCCTACACTAATTTGCGTTTCCCACGAATATCGATTCATACAAACTAGCCTTATCTGCATGTTTATTATGTTCAACATATGTCTGTGCGTACATTTTTACATATATTTAACGTCATTTCGTAACGTGTTGCTCAATAACAAAAATTACAACACGGTCATTTTTCCTTCGGATGCTTCTCAATGACGTCGATTCCCAAGGTACGTGGGATCTGCCGAATTTTTCTCATGATAAAAATGTAAAACAGCGCTTACACACGGGACGAAAGAATGAAGTGACACAGACGGTGCTGATGTGAAGTAGCACACAGTGCCGTGTGTGTCACTTCCTTCGTCCCGTGTCTAACTATATATATAGGCGTTGTTTTATATGTTTATCATGCAACCCCACCAACTCGTCCAATCTGGCTGTCTTCTTGAGTTTATGATTTCTCCGAAAACCAGTAGTCGAGTACGTGCCATCTGAAGGCTTGTCGGCACACAGGTACCGCAAGGGTTTCTGCCGCTTCTGCCAGCTGCACTACCGAACAAAGGGGCTGGACAACCCGTTCGTGCACCTCACCAACGTCTCTGTCCAGAGGCACGGGGTACGTGGCGATCGCGCACTTCGCCTGACATTATTGCATCAAACGAGGCATTTCAGAATAGTGCGGTAATCAGAATTGCATGCATCGGCCATGAAATACACGGAAGCATGTATACTTCGCTTCTACGAGGATGCCACCAATGCATCTTGCGGTGAATTTCGAAAAGAAACGCAGCGAAATATTTCGCTGCAAATGAAAAAACAAAAACATTATTGGCCCACGAAGTGAGTGCATTGTTAAAAAAAGTGGTTCTTAATAGAGAAAGGAAGAGAAAAGTGAGCCCCGTGACTGTCTGCTTCAGTGAGCGACACCTCCACAGTAGCTCACAAGGAATGGGGGTGAGGAGGGATTAAAAGGGTAGGAGTAAAGGTGTAGAAAAGAGGAAGAAGCGTGAGGTGGTAAGCCAGAGAGATCGACGACAAATCGAGAGGATAGGAGAGATAGGAAAGATGGAAACACGGTCACAGGAGTCCGAGCACGGGGCACCACTTGAGAGAGCTCTTGTCGGCGTCAGTAGATGGCGTAGAGCAAGTACAGTCAGTCAGAGCTACACTGTCGTCGAAGGTCGTCGGAGTCGGGAGATGACGTAGGGCGAGCCCAGTCGGCCAGAGCTATACGCTGACGCCGGAGATCGCGAGGGCACAACCGGTCGGCACGGAATCCAGCAAGCGAGTCCATTGTTTCTCGAATTGTTCATGCGAAAGCCTGCGTATTCTTTCGCGCAAATATATAATTGGGCAATGCTAAAATGCTCCGTAGATCCAGATAATAAATCGTGAAGTGCCGTGCAAAAGGGCTGTGACGTAGGTTGTCTGATTTTCACTGATGCTCAGGAATAGCACATGAGCAGTTGAAACCATTTTGTCTTCTACAGGCTCCGACGGAAGGGGCAGTTATCCTGTTCATCTGCATTGTGTTCTCTCGTTGAGTCTGCTATAGTTCTGAACGATGTGCCTATGAATGTTTGGGGCGGATAGACATGATGCACCTGCTTGATTTTCAGCAACCCAAAAACTGATGCATCTGAATGAGAATACTGGCAATGCAAATAACAGCTGGGAGTGCAAGAGATGCAAAAGAAAACATGCGCAGGAGATAGACTGCTTCGACGTCACACTAGACTATATATAACGATTGTTAAAAGGTCCCTAGACGACATCGAGTTGAAAGGCGAGACGGTGGTTGCTTTGTCGCCTTCAATAGCCTTTCTTCAAGTGGTATCTCCGACCCGTCACCTATTAGTTCATCAGACACGTGTAATTTCAGCACTAAGCATTGAGTCAGTGAGGATTTGACGCTTTTCCAGGCCGCTATTTCTGCTTTCGCAGTAGTAAAGGCAGAAAAAGAAGTGAAATGCGCACTTATGGTCATGCGACACAAGGCAGAATGGACATAACACCGCACGTTGAAGCACAGAAACAATTGACGAATGAGATCTCTCGTATAACGACCAATCGAGAGCTTATTTCATTCTAACTTCACGTTAACAAGCTGATGACGTCATGAATCGTGCCACGAGAATAATAAGCGCCGAAAGCGAATAAAGCGTCCGTATACTCATCTTCCGAGAGACACCCGTATAGGAGTATACTCCGCATTGATAAACCATTTCCCCGCAGGGCCGCTACAACCAGTCACACGGCGGTAAGTGGAGCCTGTCCAGCCTAGAGATGTTCTTGAGGGGCACGCGGGGTTCCGCGTCCGCTGCTCGACTGCGCCAAGACCTCAAGAACCTGGTGGCGCACTCGCTAACTGCCGTCGCGGTGCGTATAGCCCGTCGCTATACAGACAGACATACTTACGGAAATCTACGGAATGAGTCTTTCCGATTGCTGTATAGATAGTTTGCCGTTTTCCCGAAGCAGAAGTGTTCGTGCCTAAATTTAAAACACAGTTAAGCCTCCTCGGTTTATTCTATGCGCATTACTAAGCCAGTAACTGCATCCATCCATGGCAATGTACGAAAAAAAGAGCGCAACAACACTGGAGTTGTTGGTATACTTGCCCATGGGTGACTCCAATTCAGTTTTCTTGCTCTGTGTATACGTTTGCGCATTGGCTAAGGGTGTACCATTGTATTTTACCCGCAGCCGTCCATGATGTCCGACAGGCACTGCTTCGAACTTTACGGGTGAGTATTCTCGTGCAGCGCTTCCGCGAGTTGCACTGGCGACTCAAGGACAACTTGCTTCGTGAAATGACATTCGCCGAAGTGAACAGTTCCTCAGCACAAAACGGGTTCGTTCGATACAGAACACGAATTCAACTGCGCGCTACTTCTGTAAATATTGTTACTGCATATGTGATTTGGTTATGAGCCTCTGGGTAGCGGCAAGGTCGGCAGGCGGGCTTACGTCGACGCTGGCGACCGTTGTTACATTTGCCAGCCTACCAAATTTCGGGGCAATACGGCGGGTCTTCAGCTTCTCGAAAGTACGGCAGTGACGTTGGACGGCGGAGACGGAAGTGAAGTCTTCCCTGCCTATCAAGAAATTGTAGACGTCCTCTGCTATACCCTTCAGAAGGTGTCCGACTATGTCCTCTTCAGACACATACGGGTCTATGATCTTGCAGAGCATTAGAACCTCCTCTATGTAGGTGGTACACGTTTCTCCAGGTGTCTGGGCTCTTTGAGCCATAGTGCGCTCCACGCTTTCTTTTTTCGCATCAGAGTAGCCGAAGCATTTTTTTAGTTCTTCGGCGAAACGATCCCACGTCGTTAATGAATCTTCGTGGTTTTCGTACCACATCAATGCGGTTTCCGTGAGAAACAGCGCGACAGTCCCCAGTTGTTTGGTGGAATCCCAACCGTTGTGCCGGCTCACCCTTTTGTAGTGTGTCAGCCACGCATCCACATCTTCCCCTGCTCTTCCCGCGAACGGGCGGGGTTCCATATAGCGATACCGTGGTGCAGCCGGCACTGACCTTTGCGTGGTTGAGAAGCCGTGACCTTCGCTCTCGGCCATGACGGTTGTTGTTGGTGGCAGACCGGCAAGACAACGGCTCCGGCGAAGTTCAGACAGCTGTGACTCCGTGGTTCGTCGGCGTGCTGTGCCCAGCACCTCCACCACTCTGTTACGTTTATAAATGGGTTTATTACGCTGTGGCGTACTGAGGGGCTTGAAGGGGGTCGTGCACCGGAGGCCTATCTCACTAGCCGAACGTCCTCTTCTCTCATCTGCCTGTTCCCCGCTACCCAGAGGCTCATACCCAAATCACATATGCAGTAACAATAATATTTCTTTTCACTGACAGCATCAGAAAATCTTATTCGCACAGCGTCGTTGATGTACTCTCCTCTTTTTTACTTAAGCAATGTAGAAGCGTGCGGTTGGAGTGTTACAATTGAAACGATCTGTGAGTTACAACGAACATGTGACGATGCACAGCTACGACGTTCTCCTGGACGAACAGCTGCGCCCGTGGCTCCTGGAGGTGAATGCGTCACCGTCTCTGACCGCGAGCACGCGTGCTGATGCCCTGCTCAAGCAGGCACTGGTCGACGATGTGCTCAGGCTTGTCGCTCCCTCCGGCAAGCCGCCTGCAAGGTTAGCAAATTCAAAAATAAAATAAATTTTGGGCATAGCAGAAGATGGTGCACAGCTGAAAGTACAAGTGTATGAAATACCAATACTATATAGATTCGATTCAATGTCCACAACGACCAAAGTGGTTTAAAAAAAAAAAAACCTTGGTAACAGATTTATGTACATGGCCTGGCATTAACAATAACTCGCAGGCTGTGGACACCCAACTAAATCTGTTTATTCAGAACCGAATCAACCCGCCACGGTGGTCTAATCATTGTATAGGGTAGTCGATTGCTGACCCAAAGGTCGCTCGAGATCGAATACCGGCCGCGGCGGCCGCATACAGGCGAAAATCCTTGACGCTCATGTACTTGTATTTAGGTGTGCGTCAATAAACACCAGGTAATCGAAATGTTCGAAGTCCTCCGCTACGCCGTCTCTCATAATAATATAGTCTTGCAACGTAAAACCCCTACAATTATTACAAAACCGAATCGGATAGCAATTGTGCACTGCTAAAACAGTTTTCAAATAGCAAGGAAGCCATTATCGCAACAGCCATACAATGGCGCAACATTATATTCGAACTTGAAAAGCATGTTCAGAGGTCTTAACAAAACGACATTGCGATTACTTTTAGCCCAATTGATTTGTGGGGTTTAACGTCCCAAAACCACCATTTGATTATGAGAGACGCCGTAGTGGAGGGCTCCGGAAATTTTGACCACCTGGGGTTCTTTAACGTGCACCCAAATCTGAGCACACGGGCCTACAACATTTCCGCCTCCATCGGAAATGCAGCCGCCACAGCCGAGAATCGAACCCGTGACCTGCGGGTCAGCAGCCGAGTACCTCAGCCACTAGACCACCTCGGCGGGGTGCTACTTTAGCCCAAGGTTAATTAACTACCATGGTTATGTTCACTGAGGTTAGCTAGTATACAAATCGCGATCAGAGCCGTCCGGATATTTTGTTACTGGAGCGCTTGAAGTACAGAATTCACTTTAAAGTTTGAAGTTGGACTTTATCTCCAGACTGTAAGTAAAAATGAGTCGTAAAAATAAAATGTTCCAATTAACACTAAAACTATATATATATATATTATATATATATATATATATATATATATATTATATATATATATATAATATATATATATATATATATAATATATATTATATATATATATATATAATATATATATATATAATATATATATATATATATATATATATATATATAATATATATATATATATTGTGAGACGACGTCAGGTACGAAGGAGCGACCGTTTTATTGTCAACCCAGACGCTCGAGCCAGTCACCGAACAACAGCGAGCGCCACGATGATGATGATCACGGTGCTTTGTAGCGCAGTGTGAAAGTGAAAATGATGAGCAAACACAAATCAGCGCTCACACTATTTCCCCCCTAAACGAAAGCGGTTCTGCAAGACGTTCATTTAGTAAGTGTATGAGCGCCGGATATAAGGTTTCAGGCGAGACACATGGACGATCTCGGTCCCGCGACGACGGGGGCGATCAGAAGCCGAAGTAACCGGAGCGACGCGATAATTTACGGCCGATGTTCGTTCAAGCACAGTGTAAGGACCCAGGTATCTGTGAATGAATTTTTCACAGAGGCCGGGTGTGCGAACAGGTGTCCAGAGGACGCACTTCGTCGCGCTGGGTAGATGACACAACTCGACGTGTCGCATCACACGAACTTTTCGCTGGGCCTGAATGGTAGAGGTGTTGGCGCGGGCGATTGTGGCGCAGTGGTTTGACACGGGGCAGCGAATTCTTCCGGAAGGGACGCAGATGGGACAGAAGGCGGGGACAAAAAGCTGGTGTCTAGAACAAAAGAATGGGCACTGGACATAACACAAGAAAAACGGGCTGCTAACTTGTAGTGCGTTGTATGGCAGTGTTTATAGGCAAACGTGACGAAAGGTAGTATTGTGTCCAGTTCTTGTGATCGGGTTGGACATACATAGAGATCATGTCTGACAAAGTTCTATGAAAACGCTCAGTATAAGACCATTTGTTTGCGGATGATATGCCGAGGTGGTCTTATGGATTGTGTCAGAGGCCTGGTAAAACTTCAGCGAGCCACGAGAAAGAAAGTCTTGCCACGGTCACTCAGGAGAACACGAGGGGCGCCGTGGCGCAGGATAATGGCACGCAGAACAAAGTCGGTTACTTCGCTGGCAGCTCCAGTAGGAAGAGCTGCCGTCTCAGCGTAGCGAGTAACGATGGTCTACGGCCAGTAACAATCCAGCGGTTGACCGGCGGCGGTAGCGGAAGGGGTCCGTATAAGTCTATGCCGACGAACTCGAAGGGAGCGGATGGCACGGGAGAGGTTGTAGAGGGCCGGCGGGAAGAGATGTCGAACGTTTTCGGTGCTGACATGATGAACAGGAAGTGACGTACCTGGAAAACACTAGTGGAGAGGCCAGGCCAGAAGCAGCGAGTCTTAATGCGATCGTAGGTTTTATGAAACCCAAGTGGCCAGCCGTCGGGTCGTCATGAAAGGCTTCTAAGACTTGGAGTCGAAGTGAGCGAGGTATGACCGGGACCCCATCGGCTACCGAGAGGATGGTAAGTTTGTCGAAGTAGCGTTCCGTCATGAAGTTTGAAACGCGTGTGAGTTGTCGTCGCAAGCGGCTGTTGGGAGCACGAGATTGAGCCGGTGAGCCGATCGATGATTGTCCGGCAGTATGTGTCTGCACGTTGGAGCGAGGTGAGGTCTGCGGGATTGAAGGAAGTCATCCGGGTGCAGTGGGCTCGATGGGGACTAAGACTGGTCATCTGCGTGGTCTCTTGGCTGGGAGGTGCTGCGCAGCAGGTAGATGCGTCATGATTTTGCAACAGCGGACAGCGTGACAAAGCGTCGGCATCTTGGTGTTTGCGACCCGACCGGTAATGTGACACTGTAGTCATACTCCTGCAGTCGGAGCACCCAACGACCGAGGCGTCCTGACAAGTTTTTAATGATGACAACCAACAGAGCGCATGATGATCCGTGACGATCGTGAAGCGGCGGCCATACAAATAGGGGCGCAATTTTTGCACGGACCATACGATAGCGAGACATTCCTGTTCAGTGATGCTGTAATTGCGTTCCGCTGGGGAGAGAGTACGGCTCGCGTAAGCCACGACTTGCTCTTGTGAAGCCTGGTCACGCTGCAGCAGAACAGCGCGATTCCTGCCCACTTGCGTCAGTGTGTAAATATATAGGGGCTGTGGGATCAAAATGGCGAAGAAACTGGCCCTGACGTGAGGCATCGCTTCAGGGTCTGGAAAGCAGCCTTCCACAGTCATCTGTCCAAAGAAATGATGCACTGTGTGGTCAGGAGTTTGTGAAGAGGAGCCGCGATAGTGGGCAAAATCACGGACAAAACGGCGGAAGTAAGAGGGCTAAGCGAGGAAGCTGCGAAGGTCTTTGAGCGTGGTGGGCTTAGGAAAGTGCAGCACAGCGGCCACTTGTCGGGATCAGGTTCGATGCCAAGCTTGCTGACAACGGGCCTAACACTTTGATGCTGCGGCTCGCAAAACCGACACTTCTTGGTATTTAGCTGGAGACCGGCTTTGGCTAGACATGTGAGCACCTCGTCTAGACGTTCTAGGTGTTGCGAGAAGCTGGATGAAAAGATGACGATGTCGTCCAGGTACAAAGACAGGTCTTCCATTTTAGGCCACGCAGCACCGTATCGATCATCCGCTCAAATGTGGCTGGGGCATTGCAGAGCCCAAAGGCATCACATTGAATTCGAAGAGACCATCAGGAGTAGCAAACGCTGTCTTCTCTTTATCAGACTCGTGCATCGGGATCTGCCAATACCCAGATCGTAGGTCGAGACTCGAGAAATATTCTGCACCCTGTAAGGTGTCAAGTGCATCGTCAATTCGAGGCATAGGATATACATCCTTGCGCGTAATTTTGTTTAGTGCCCTGTAATCAACGCAAAATCGCACTGATCCGTCCCTTTTCTTAACTAGGACAACAGGAGAAGACCAAGGGCTTGTGGAAGGTCTGATAACGTTGCGTGCGAGCATGTCATTGACTTGTTCCTCGATGACCTTGCGTTCTGAAGACGACACGCGGTAAGGGCGACGGCGGATAATACGAGAACCGTCTGTGGCGATGTGATGAGAGGTCACCGTAGTTTGACCTAAGCCATCCGAACAAACGTCAAAACAAGTCTTGTGTTTTGTTAAAAGGGCCATTAAGTCATTAGTTTGCGTTGGAGTGAGATATGGACTCAAAGTGGCTTTAAGCGCATTAGATGAGCCTCCTGGTGGCGTACACTTAGCGACTGACGGCGGAGACGATACAGTGACGACACATACCGGTGCTATGTCGATAAGGCTGGCAACAGTGGACCCCTCTGGCAGTAGTTGTGGCTCTGTTGTCGTGTTGTAGGCGGTGAGACTGGCATGACCACGCGAAAACCGCACTAGACAACATGCGATGGCGATTCCTCGGAAAATGCAGCGCTGATCGGGACAACCACTGCGTCACCGTCAATGGTATCGCTGGATCTAATGGTGAGGATACGTTCTTGGGCCGGGGGCAGTACAAAGTCTGCAGCTGCAACAAGGTGAGGCGACGAAAAATCGTAAGCACTAGAATTTTCAGTGTCCGTAATGCGAATAACGGGCGGACCACACGAAATGACAGCGGAAGCGGCTGACAGGAAGTCCCAGCCCAATATAATCGGATGAGCACATGAAGAAAGCACAGCCAATTGTATATGGTGACGAATTCCGTCGATCAGAACACGAACAGTGCATTGTCCAATAGGGTAAATTCTATTTTCATTAGCACCACATAACACCGGACCAACATATGGAGTTTGCACTTTTCGTAGACGATGACATAGTTCGCGATCAATGACCAAAATGGCTGCTCCAGTGTCCACGAGTGCGTCAACCGAAATGCCTTCTACACAAACAGTTAGTAAATTTGCAGGGCGCGCAGGAGGAATTGGGACACTTCGACGACAGGCAGTTTCTCCTCCAAAAACTGCAGCTGCTAGTTTTCCGAGTGGCTGTCGAGGGGCATCAGGGCAGAACGTAAAGGCGAAGTAGTACGGCGGAAGGGCGATGGTGAACGACGGCGGGGTGAGCGGGAAGAACGAGGTTCACCGTGGGACAAAGGAGGCGAAGGCGAACGTCGTGACGAGGGAATGTAGGTTCCTGGAACGTAGGGGTCAGACCTCGCAGCCCGGTCACTCTCGTACGAAGAATAACCTCGTCGTTCATCTTGCTGGCGCCGACGGCAAAAGCGGGAGATATGTCCTCTTATGCCACAGTAGTAACAGACGGGGCGCGTAGGGCGCCAGGCAGGGAAGTGTGGTTGTGGTGGTGCCTTGGCTGCCATCGCGGCCAAATGGTCGTATACGACGTCCGTAGTTACAGGTGGAGTAGGTGGAGGAGGCCGTGACACGACTTCGGCATACGTAGGCACATGTAAGGGCACAGGAGGCGGGGCACGTGCGACGCTCGTCATCGACGCCAATTCGTCCTTTATAATTTCCCGCAGGTTAGGAGGGGGTGAGCGGGCAGGTGAAGTCGGTGCGCTGGCAGGAACAAGGCTGTGAAGTTCCTCTCTCACTATGGTGCGAATTAGAGCTCGCAGCTCATGCTCGCCAGTAAGACGAGTGTCATAGGAGGCGTGTGGAAGGCGCATTGAGTAAAGTGCGTCCAGGCGCTGGCAGGTGGTAATAATGTCCTGAACTGTTGTCGGGCTCTGCATGACAAGAGCATTAAAGGCGACGGAGTTGATGCCTTTCATTACTTGCCGAATACGATCGGCCTCCGGCATGTCCTTTTGGGCGCGGCGGCAGAGGGCCAGAACGTCTTCAATGTACGATGTGTACGATTCGTCAGGCCCCTGGATGCGGGTAGCGAGCTTCTGTTTAGCTACCTCAGAGCGTCCTGTAGAAGTGCCGAATATTTGACGCAGCTGCACCGTGAATGCTGACCAATCAGGAAAGTCGCGTTCGTGGTTATGATACCACGTCTTAGCAACCTCCTTCAGATAAAAGGGTACATAGCGCAGCTTATGTGCCTCATCCCAGTAATTGCAAGCACTGGTACGGTCGTAACTGTCCAGCCATTCTTCTACGTCCTCACCGCGAAGGCCAGAAAACACTGGAGGGTCTCGTTGCGAGGTACTCACGGTGTGGTGAGGCCCAGCAGGCTGAGCGGGTGGTGCGAAGAAGGCGGTAGAGGGTGGGTCGTTTTGCGCCATCACTGTTGGCAAGCACAGCCGTCGACCTGATCGGAGCTCCAGGGGTGACCGGTAGTGCACGAGGACTTGGGAATCACAGCACGCTCCACCACTTGTGAGACGACGTCAGGTACGAAGGAGCGACCGTTTTATTGTCAACCCAGACGCGCGAGCCAGCAACCGAACAAACAGCGAGCGGCCACGATGATGATGATCACGGTGCTTTGTATGCGCAGGTGAAAGTGAAAATGATGAGCAACACAATCAGCGCTCACAATATATATATATATATATATATATATATATATATATATATATATATATATATATATATATATATATATATATATATATCAATTAAATCTAACAGACAAAAATAATAACGCGTTATTCGAAGGTCGCAGGTTCGGTTCCTGTCCAAGGCAAGTTATCTTTTCACCCACTTTTCTTTCTTCGCATTTACCTTACAATTTGGTCTAATAACCTCCCCTATACTTTCCTTGGCATTATTGTCTGTTAGCTTTCATTAACAATGTGTCAAAACACGGAAAAGCGAGCCCTTAAGCATCCGCTTTTTTCTTATATATATATTGTCGCGAGAGGAAACGATAGGCAGGAACTCGAAGTGGAGGACTCTTTACTCAGCCACAGCTGCCATTCACTTCTTCGCTCTCGTCTTCTGCCACCAACACAGCGTGGCAATATATATATATATATATATATATATATATATATATATATATATATATATATATATATATATATATATATATATATATATATATATTATATATATATATATATATATATATATATATATATATTAAGGTCGTCTTAGAACTGTAAATGTTGACGTGCGTGTCAGCTCAGTGACGTCATTCTGGCTGGACGATAGTTATAGCGCGAGAACAAAACGATGACACAGAGACAAGAAGGACACGAAAGACGCAGGTCTCGTGACATGGGTCGATATCGGATCTTCTGTTTTATCATTCCATAGAAATTCAATAAAAAGCTTTGAGAATTTCTAAAATATTTAACATCTATACGGTACACAACCCTGCACTTTCAATTCCGCCACACAGGTAGGTGGCCTCGTGTTTACTGAAAACAACAAACCGAAATAACGCTACACTGACAGTGGAGCAGGTCAAAAAGGCGCGTAGTTTTGTGTTACAACAGTGACGCAACGAAAAAGTTCATGCGGATTGGAAAACAAAAACACCCCAAGATAGCTCCATATTAGGCTCGCCAGAAAGCGTTGCTAGGTTGTCGTGCAGACCCCAATTCACCACGTTAATTGCACCGACAGAAAGCCTCGCTTTAATTGCCAGCGGTAACATTTATTACTGGATTAGTGAAATCCGATGGCGTATTTCTTTTCTTTCTTTTCTCACTAAATGGTTTTGTGCACCTCTCGCAATATAAGTGCCGTTTTCTGTTCTGGCTGTGGGTTCTAGTCGATATATATATATATATATATATATATATATATATATATATATATATATATATATATATATATATATACTCTTACAAGTTCCTAGAAAGGAGCAGTGTGAAATATCAAATGAACGTTTTCTATGTGGCGCGATCAGCATATCTATTCTTTGACCGTCGATTGATGTTGAAAACTGCGCCTTGTACACGCAGTGGCCATTCGGAAGCTGAAATGGGCGACTTCGATCAGATCCTTCCCGAGACGTCCTGATTGAGGAGCTAGACCAAAGCCGATATGGGAGTGTTGTACATTACAAAATATGTAATAAACTGATTATACGATTCGTCTGTGGTTGTATATGGCTGCGCTTGCAGAGCACATATGCTATCTTACAGTGATCGTGCATCGCCATTGTTTCGTGTGCGTGCGCGAAGGTTGACATCTTGATAACAAAAGAGGATGGGGTGGCGAAGTTCACAAGCTTCGAAGCGTTGCCTTTCTACCTGAAGTGCTGGTTTCTAGACAACGACGCCGCATCACCTGACTAAACATTCAAGACGCCCCCGGCCATCACCGGCCGTCCCAAAGTTGCCTAAGAAAGGCTCGACGGACGCATGGGATCCCCTGGTGACACGTGCACCAATCGAGTGTCCGGCTTCTGTACAGCTCGTGGATAATTTGGCTAGTGTCAAGGAGGATTAAAAAAGTTACTGGAGTGGAAATGATTGCGCAGAAGTGAAGTCCTTCCTCTGGCAAGATGGCGGCTGTGGCGGCCATCTTACTAGGGGCATGATAAAGTATCATTGGTCAGCGATCAAAAACGAAGCGTTTCCCTCGCACGCCCAACGAGTTTAATGTGTGAACTTCGTCGGGTCACATAGCGCTCCAAGTGCGTCTTACAGTTACTAATTTTCCTTTGTGAGCCTCTGATTGGAGGCAAAGTTCTTTGAAGATTCAGTCACCCATACTCATTTCTTTGTGTTGTTTCGTCGGGAACAACTTCCCTTTAATATAGAATTAACGTAGAATTTACAAAACATATCAAGGCCACTTGATCTTCAAGTGGGCACTACCAGAAAAGAGCATGTTTCCGCCATCTTGGCAGAGGCAAAAGCTGGCTTCACTTCTGCTGGCAAGGCATTGCGGGAGCTTCCACTCCAGCACTTTTTCTTTAATCCTCCTTGGCTAGTGTCGACTACCATGCACCGGCTGACATTACTAATTCGGTGGCTAGCACTGACTTATGTCTCGTCTTTTGTTGACTATCTCTTTATATTTGATAACTGTCAGCGTTGGCTAACTTGCAGCATTAATTTTGTACTATATAGACCTCACGAGTAGCAGCTTGTGCCGGCTTTGCCACTGCCTCTCGAACTCTCGCCTCCATGGTAGCTTGTTTTCTTCGTCGGCGCTGCATTTCGCGGGCGAAAGTTCATTCACGTTCGTTTTTATCAGTAGCAGAAAGACGATGCGTGGTCTGGACCACTCTTTTTCTTCATCTTCACCAGCGTCATCGTGAGCATGCTTGATATAGGTGTAATATTAAGTGACAAGATGACAGCAGAGTGAATCGGGGAACCGACGCGCGTTAAGGATATCTTAGTCGAAATCAAAAAGAACAAATTATGACCTATCTCCCCGAAGGGAACCATGATGGGATGCGAAGCAGCAGCGGTGAGCACGGCGCTGACCCGGCTGAAACGGGCGTCGATGCTGGTGTTGAAAGAGCGGTCTGAATCAAAACTCGGTGTAACCTTTATTCGAGTAAACGTTTCTTTGAAACGCAAAGACACGGGAGGTGGGTTGGGTTTTATGTAAGTTTCATCCTCACATAAACGAGCCGAAATAGTGCTTTTACTCGACGTGCTGTCGAGCGTTGCGGGCAGCAGAGAGGGTGAAGCGAGAGAGAAGTGTTTTACGAGCGGACGGATAGGTGTGTTGGGAGGAGCCGCAGTTGCTGCGGGTGATCAGAGAGTGATGTCAACACGCAGCTGCGACTTGACCTACTTGGCATTATTCCAACAACTGCGGCGGAGGGAACGTGGTGCAGCGCGTTGGCACGGAGATACGGATGGACAACGATACACATACTAGTCAAAGGGCTGCTTCGCATCTAAAACGCATGTGCAAAGCATGTAGAGAGGAGCCAAGAGGGACATAGTGCGTTGCAAGAGAAGGCAATCGCGCCATAAGGGGAGGTCAAAATTTATGCTGTCAATCTTTATTAGTTTGCGAAAATAACGTGGTCGCAGCAAGCACAGTACTGCGTTGATTGGAAAAGCATGGAAGGGGCCTTTGCGGTGGTTTATAATGAGGACGCAATACTCCGGCTGAGTCACACTTATAGTTTAGCGTAAATCGGCCCTGCAGGAAGGCGCTCACGAACGCCGCTTGTTATACGCACGTTCGCACGATGGAGCACATAGCTCTCCTCAGTGACAGTAACGTCAGAGTTCGAATGAGACTGCTGACGTGGTGAAATGGCTTTCATCGCAGCGCAGCCGAGGTAAGCTTATACTCAGCTTAGACAATGACGCGATAACTTCGTTTAACACTTGCATAAAACATTGCGCATATAAGCATTTTATTCATAGTTGAGAAGCGGAAAGATCGAAAACGCCAGAGCGGCTGGAAAACCATATTCGCGCGCGCGCGCTGGACACGTTCACAGTGATGCTGCCACCGCCTCTTATTTGTGAACGAAAGAGATAACGTGTGCGCTCTTTAATAGGTATGCTGATTTCAAGTTAAGCATGTAAGCCATTGTTTCTAGAGATGCGCATAGTGGAACCTATACATGAGCAAAATGAGCGGTGGCGACGATGGGATTCTTCTCTGTGTGCAAAAAAAAAAAAAAACAGGTATGTTGGGGTCACAACTCACTACTGAAGTCTTTTCGGCAATCTTCATCCAAATCAGGCTCTTGAAGGACACTTCTTTGTGTAGGCTGCGAGTTTCGACGCACAGCACGTGTAGTTTTCGATTGCGCCGATTCCTTGGACGTTATTTTTAATGTGCGACCAGATGTTTGCATCATGTGCTTTATTCGAGAAAGACAAGACGTGCAGACTCGGAGACAAAGATGTCAAGACACCACAGGTACCTACTAACAACTGCAAGGCGCACAACTGCGGTAAAGAAAGAACGTACAAAAAAAAATTGCCCGCAGCTTCCCTCGGGGGAACACTGAGGAGGATGCGGAGCATATAATTGGTTAACGGGGTGTTAAAGTGCGACTTACTTGGGTCGATGGCTAAATTGGTTAACGTGGTTGTGAAATGGGGTGTTAAATTGCGACTTACTTGGGTCGATGGCTAAATTGGTTAACGTGGTTGTAGGAGGGGGTGTTAAATGAGTGAACACGTACACACGTATGCGAAAGGGCGGCGCTGGTCGAAGGGACGTCGATCATTGTGTTTGTGGATTCATTGGAATTCATTTCACCGCGACCTTGGACGTCGACGCGCCGTACAAACCAACCGACGAGCGGCAACTGAGCGAGCGAGCGCCGACCTTGAGTATATATACAGCGCGACGGCGCATGCACTGTCAGCTGTCGAATGTTCGAGAAGGGGGAGAAGCGCAACGGCGCATGCGCGCGCGTCAGCTGCCGATGTTCTCGAAGCGCGACGGCGCATGCGCGCGCGTCAGCTGCCGATGTTCTCGAAGCGTGACGGCGCATGCGCGCTACATTATACAGCTAGCGAATGTTCGTGAAGAGGAGAAGCGCACGCGGTGTGTAGAGGAGGAAGGGTGCACAGATGGTGGAGGAGTGAAGCGCGCGCGGTGCGTAGAGGAGGAAGGGATGCACAGATGGTGGAAGAAGGAGGAGGAAGCTTGCGGACGGCGCCGCACTACAAGCCTCGAGTATTAGATGCTCCGCATCTAAAACGCATCCGCGCATGCTCACGTAGTTGGCGAACCTATCAATCCGGCACGGATCGATGTGGGCCTACGTGACAAATGCCTCCTTTATTTCTTCCCATGCCAGTGCAAACGCGCCCTCACGAACGCGAGAGCTGTCAGTCCGCTTTAGTTCAGGAAGTGGTCGTGACGCGGCGCCACATGTATATAGAGTACAGAGTTACTGTATATGGTATACCTTTAGGTAGCATATACAGTAACATGTACAAGTAGCATATAGAGTAACTCTAATAGAGTATGCTTGCGTCACACGTGCGTCGGAGTGCTTTCCCAAGTTGATGCGATAGACGTGTTTCACTCTCCAAAATGATATATACGTCTGTCAGATTCGTTCCTTCTTACTTCTTTGTGGCTCGAAGCAATGCCGCCGCCTCACAGCATTCTGAAATTGAGCGCATGCAGCAGCGTCGCAGTGACGCTTCCCCATTGGTTGCCTGCATGAAGCCACAAACGGCGACATGCTATCTCAAAACGCCGTATCTCTTACACCAGCCAGCGTGACCGGCAACTTTTGAACACGAGGAATGCAAGACGCCGCCCAGCGGATCTTTACACAACCGAACAAAAAATTACTTTATATGATTTCCGTCCTGAGACAGCCACAAAGCACACGTGAAGGCTAGGCGATGGGCGAGAGCAGGAAATGGCTAGAGGAGAGGATGGTGAACGGCCGGATCAGGCACATCTGGTTGGCGCTGAAAGAGAGGCACTGACATGACAAATAACTGTCAGGGCGTTTCGTTTCTTCTTTACGTCAGTTGATTGACGATTGACTCACGTTTGCGCCACAATTATTGTCGATATGGCATGCATCCACCATTGATGATTGATATGTGGGGTTTTACGTCCCAAAACCACCATATGATTATGAGAGACGCCGTAGTGGAGGGCTCCGGAAATTTCGACCACCTGGGGTTCTTTAACGTGCACCAAATCTGAGCACACGGGCCTACAACACTTCCGCCTCCATCGGAAATGCAGCCGCCGCAGCCGGGATTCAAACCCGCGACCTGCGGGTCAGCAGCCAAGTACCTTAGCCACTGGACCACCGCGGCGGGGCATGCATCAACCATTGAACGTGTTGATTCGTTCCTGTGCCGGTACAGAACTGCGAATTCATCGAACTTTGGCGTGCAATAACATTCTCGGGCCCAAAGAAGGATTAGAAGTTAAGCCTCCTGGTAGCGATCTCGTGTTCTAATAATAGGTATTCTCGAAAAGCAAACTATTTGCGTTGGACGCTTTGGGTCAAGCAGGAGCGAAAAGTTTTCGATTAGCCTTTATTTTATTTTTTATTTCAAAATACCCCTAAAGGCCCTTGACGAGGGTATTACATAGGATGACAT